TAATTTGAATACCTAATAGAACTTTTTTTGACATGAAATAATAGGGTAAACACAGGTGTTACGAACGATAGAAATTACATCTTTGTTGCATTTAGTCTAGCGGAGCCTTTACAGTGAGCCAGCATGCACAATATCAGCTCCCTGCTTCTGAATGGAACAAAACTTTAATTAGTATCATTGGTAACACCTGTGTTTACCCTACTATTTCATGTCAAGCTGGCCGCTGTGAAAAAGTTCTATTGTGTTACATTAATTCTATAAGAACCATGCAGTTTCCCAGTTTGGTCCGTTCTGTAAACACACACTTTTCCTGGCTAAAAAACTAAATATGTCAACCAAGATAGTTCTACACTATTCATACTGAAGTAGGTAAAGTAATAAATAAACATTAAGAAATATGTTTACTTGTTTCTCTACATGTCATATATGAAGGTACTACCACCAGCCAACTGGCCTCCTTTAAGTCCTTTTAATATCTGTGATTTTATTACACCATTTTGGACAGTGGACAAACGAATGAGGACAGAAAAAAAAAAATGTATATGAATTTGGCATCAATGTGATTAGATACCTTTAGTCAGGTGTTTGATTTATCCAAAAACAGACAAAACAAAAATTCTTGCTCTCTCTCCTGAACTCCTGTTCCTAAACATATATAGATTTAATTCATAAAGCCCACTCCCAAGGAGAGAGACACATAGGCTAAAGTTTTAGAAAACGACTTACTGTCTTAGTATCCTTTTTCTCCTCTGTGGCAGACGTAGGAGAAAGGAGTCATTTTGATTTACCCATGCACGGCTGTTTCCAGGCTGTATTGTTTTCCATTACACCATTCAGTATAATGGCAATCTCACTTTAAACCTGTGATTGATTGCTACTCTGTCACCCTGAGGGGGTGTTTTACCTTTCACTCTGCTTGGTTTGATATATGAGCATGTGTTTTCTTTTCAGAATCTCAGAGCTTGGACCCTTTTGGGACAGTTTGATAAAGTGCTCAGATTCCCAGAAATACTCCATGTTGATTTATTTGTCTTTATAAAGTAGTAGTGACCATCTTGTATGTGCAAGCTTGGGTGTTGTTAAATATGACTATAAATCCAATATCACCAAGGTGTAAGTCACTGTAACACACTGGTCTTTTTTCCCTTCTGACTTAACTATTCCAGATCATTCCTGAAGAGGATTTTATTTACTTATCAAATGTAAGGTTTTGGCCATAGGATATTTTAATAGTTTTCGGCCTAAAGCCTTTCCATGGCACCATAGTGCTATGTCTGTTAAAAATTTTAGCCGTGACTGTGAACCCTGTGATGAAAGAGGAAAAATACAGTGAGTCTCCCATGTTCAAGGCTTCCCCAAGTTTTGGGATGTGTAGTCTCAGGACAATAGATCTGGCAGTGGCTGACCACAGCTGTGTTTGTGCTGGGATGGTGTACTGGACTAATTCCCCCCTTCCTCCGGTTGACCCTCTGGGCTGAGCCAGGTTGTCCCCGTGGGGCTGAGGGCAGCTGGGGCCAGAGGAGGTGGAGGCAGGTGACTCAACTAGCCTCCCCCTCACCTCTTCCCTCCTTTGTACACCACACCAGCTGTGATTTTTGCTGTTTAGTCTCCTTGAATCTGGACAAAACATGTCAACAGATAGTTATCAAATCTAGTGAAGCCAAGTCAACAGAAGCGTCTTTAAGGAGGATGTTCTTTCTGAAATATCTTGGGGAGACTTTTTCAGGAATGTAGCAGCAGAGGACACACGATAGAGCCCGGTTGTGTGCTTGAGGTTGCGCCATCAGTTAGAGGAAAAATCCAGACCTCAGACACACTTACACTGATTTCATCAGTGTTTAATGCAGTCCAAGTTTTACTGTGTGCTCAAGTGTTGCAGTTGAGTTTTTGGTGTACTCGGGTTTCCTCAATGTGCAGTCTATTTTGACTTCTTTACATTTTCTGTAAGAACACCTGCCAGCAAGTTGATGCATTTACTTTTGGCCATGCATGTAAGTGCAGTTAGTTGTTCTGTACATTTTCTGTCATCAGTTTCTTGCTATATAATGAATTCAAGACCTCAAAACCCAACAACTACTGATGGTGTTTAATCCCCGTGAATTGAAGAAAAATGCCACCACAAAGCAACAAGGCAAGTATTTTATGTGAACCAGGAAGGATTTTTTTGTGCTTTTCACATCTGTACTTTGAATTTAATGCATAATTCGCAAAGATTTTTATTTTGTTAACATCCATTATCCTTAAGTCAACTTGAACTTTTTTCATCTAGACTCTGGCCGTATTAGAGTTATTCTTCAGTTGTTATATACAGCATTTCATAAAACCTCTCTTGCAGCACAAGTGAATGCACAAGAAGACCTAAAATGTGCCACTCACCTGCCCTAGCTCTCGTCCTCCCTTGGTTGATCAGTCAAGCTGTGTCTCCCAGTGGCTCCAGCCAGGTGATCTAACCAGGAATGCATTTGACGCCACCTCACTGTTTGGCCTTTCAGGGGTAACCAAGCATGTCCAGCTGGGCTTTTCTCTCCTGCCTCTTCAGCTACCACATGAAAGAGACCCGATTTTGTCTGACAGGGGAGTCATTCTTCGCAAAGAAGTGGGTTGTTTGTGGGGGAAAGAATTTCTGCTTCTATCAGAATATTTCCGTTTATGTTTTATGATGTATTGTGCAGACTTTGTGGAAATGTGTTTGCCTCCCTCTCCCATAGAAAACACAAAGTGCTTTGTTTTTGTATCTACAGGGGTCATTCTGCTCTTGAACTACATACAGTAATTCCTGAATCGTGGATACATGTGGGAAATCCCAAGCTTTAGCTTCCCATTTCACCCCATGAAAACAATAGAAAAAGTACAAGGGTTTTACAAATGTCTTTCCTGGCAAACACGAACCAGTGCTGAGTGGCAAAACAGAGGGGTCAGTGTGCTGAAAGGCTCTCTCAGCCAGTTATGTTTTTGGCAGCCAGGCGAGACTGACCTTCTCAACTGTCAGGAAAGAAACACTGGGATCTGCTTTACATTTGCACCTGTTGGAAACTCTGCGATAATGCAGCTGAGTTAATGTGGCTGCAAGAGATATCCAATCCTTCACATGAGAGCATGCTCGGTGTCCGACCTTGTGTACTTCACCTCTCTGGAACTGTTTTTTATTTTCTCAGCATGTCATCCTCCTCCTGTTTCCTGCCTGACTCCTCCTCATATCTCTACTTCTTACCCAGTTCAGTCACTGTCAAACACAACATAACTCTACTTTTTTATAGATCATTTCTTGATTTGTTAGTTAGCTGGTTGTGCTATTGGGAATTAATGGGAAAAGAGGGAAGAGCATCAAAGTTTTCAACTGGCTGTGTTGAGTTAAGGGACGTGTGCAGTCAACCAAACTCGTTGAGGGCTATTGTGTTAAGTGGTTGTGTGCCTGTAAGAATATAGCTGGGAGAAATCCATATTGAGGCTTAAGCATGATTAGGATCTTATCTGATAGGGACCAGACATGTTCTGATGGTTGAGTTCTTCCGAAATGATGAGTTTTAAAGCTATAGCTATCTTGCACCAGACATCTGGGACATCTTCCTCTCTGAACTGAGTTTTGTGTTTTTTTTTTTATTTTTGCTGAGAGCAGATCCACAACTGCTGTATGTTACCTTTGATGTTAAAGCATTTTAACTGATGTACTGGAATTAATAGTGTGAAGCGGTAGTCCTGGTGGGGAAGGGGAATATCCTCTTCTTTTCCCTATGTGTCATCATGTGCTTCCACCATGCAGCAGCTTTACTGAAGACATAATAAATAAGGAAACCTCAGAAAGATGTTACAGTCAGAGGTGATGGCCACTTGGGGGATACGTACATTTAATGTGGTAGTTTGGTTAGTTAGATTATGAACTTTTTAAAAAATATATCTTATAACAATAAGAGGATTTTCAGCTTTTCTCAGTTCATTCAACTGAATATGTTTGGGTTTTAGACATTTGAAGACGCTACAGTTGGCTCTGGTAAACTGATATTGCGTACTATTTTATAGACTGAACAAATAATCGATTCATTTAGAAAACAGTTGGCATCCTCCTCCTCTATGGTTTTCATTTATGCAAACTAAAAACTTACTTACAAGGAATTGTCATGCATAGCGTCAACCAGTATTAACACTGAGCTTCTGTCTTTCATCAATTTTATCTGTAAGTCACTCACACAGGACATGGTCTGCACTGTATCAGTATCTTTCATTAACATACACTTCCCTAGCACTCAGTGTTTCTCTTATCCAGTCTGCAGCAACAGTAAACCGTTCCTTTTCTTTTAGTTTATGTTTCTTAGGAAGAGGATAAGATGCCTGTGATGATTATTTCATGGTAATGCTCCCAACATCCATTAAGTTCATATGCTGTGAGTGCGCAGACCACATCTATCATATTAGCTATAATAATGACAGCTCTCTCTAATGACAGGATGTGGACGGGAACACTGCATCTCCCTGTAAATCTGCTCATTCCTTCTTTGGTCTGATGAACCAAATTCATAAATATTACTTATTTCAAGTGGATTCCAAATAATTTGCCAAGAATCTTTTTTTAGGGAAGGCTTGAATGCGCCCTTGTATTTTGGCGAGAAGTATGTTTTTATTTTCCTGCAGGAGCAGCTTCAGAAGAACGTCTAAAGACTGTCTGTCTGTTTTTCCTTATCTTCCTATCTTCAACTTATACAGATTCAGAGTAACATATGAACTTTGTCATTTTTTTGGCAATTCTCCATAATGCAGACCTGTCCATCTGTTCCTTTTTAAACTGTGAGAATCTATTTCCACATATTGTAATGTTTGAGATTGATGTAATAGGTACACAAATGTTCTTATGTTGGGATTGTGTTGGAAAAACAACTTGCATTAACAAAGTCCCTAATTTGACCTGTTATGATTTTAATGAACTTCATCAATCACACAGGTGGATTTGGTTTCTGTTATTATTATTTTAATAATATGTCTCATTCCTTGTATGTTTCTCTCTTTAGTTGAAGCAGCCTGACAAGGCAGCAGCAGCGGCTCACACCTACTTCCAGGCCAACCCTGAACATGTGGAGATGGGTCAGAACCTGGAGCAGTACAAAGACCTGCAGGGCGTTAAGGAGGACCACTTTGTGGACAGAGAAGCCCGACCTCACCAGGTAAGCCAGGAAATCTTAATATTCAAGTTTGAATACAGACACAGTTTTGATTATTTCTCTTTTTAGTTTGTTTTGTCTTTTTCCTTTTCCTCTTTTCATACCTCTTACCTATTGATGCCTGAGCCTGTTTCAGACAGTCAGTGTGACCTGTTGCCCTATCTTCACCTTTTTCCTGAAGGGAAAAGTGAATCTGTTGTCGCTGTATGAAGAGGACTTTGTGTTAATGGCCCTTGCAGTTTAATGACTGGAAACTCATTTGGGCCTTTTAGTGCTGGTTGCGGTGAAGCCCTGAATGCCAAAGAGCCTTTGGATCCTTTGTGGGTTGATTTATTTTCAGTTTTTCACCCTTTCTAACACCCTCTCTTTTTTCCTTCTCTGCCTATCCATTCTCTCTTCTTCTACAAACTTGTAGAAGTTCCTATGGGACCCTCTGGGAGAAGCTACTTAATCTGTTATTCATACCAATTGTACTCAACTAAACTTTAAATATGGCTGGTAATTCATTGTTTCTCTGATACATCATTTTACTCGTGACTTACTCTGTTAGTGTAAATGTATACACTTTACTTTTAAAGCAATGTGTTTTCACCTATTTTTTTACTTTAAACTTGGTAAATGTCTTTAATCTGTGTTTGTTTTTTCTGTGTTTCTTGTTTGCAACCTTCCAGTCTAAAGAACATTTTCTTTTGACCATAAATTAATGTGTGTTATTTAAATGGTATTCAAAAAGAATTGGCCGTGGGAGTCCTTTCTGGCAACTGTTATGGCTAATCCACCCACCTCCCCTTCTGTTTATTCCAAACAAATGATCGTTGCTTCTGCAGGCAACAGGATCCGCACCAGAGGGCTTGTAAAAACTTTTATGAACTGGCTGCAGGTTTACTTACAGTTGTGTTTTTTAACTGTAAAAGTGATAGCAATGTTTGCTAATATAACAATGCCAAAGATGAACATTTTAATATACCAATAAATCATAAAGACCTCTGCTAAATACCAAAGGTCATAAATACTCATCGCATTGTTCGTCTCTCTCATGATCCTCTGTTTCTCCTCCATCACAGCACTCCTTTACTGCAGCGGTGAGGTTGTACGACAAAGGCGACTACGAAAGAGCCATCGCTCTGTTCGAGGAGGCTCTGGTGGAGTACTATAAAGCAGACGTGGAGTGTCGGGCCCTGTGTCAATGGCCGCAGAGGTTTGAGGGCTATGACTACCTCCGCTACCGATACAGCCTCCATGAAGTCATATCAGGTAAGAGCCAACGTCCGAGCAGGTTTACTTGAACAGAAAACAGTTGTTGACATGCAACTATCCTGCATTTATCTGCAAGTAGAACAAAATATGTCCCTGAGTTGCATATATAGTGTAAATAATTCTAAGTGTTTGAAGTGCGGCATTGGTAAGAGCCATGGTAATAAAAAAGCAATGATTATTATAATAAAATCCCAGTATGAGCATGGACTTCTTGTGGATTTTGGATGTGATTTGTTGGTGTAATCGGCTGTATACATTCTTTACAAATAGCAGATAAATAATTACACTGTAGTTTTTTAGTTAGAACCAGGACTTTAGTGTTTAGGTTGTGTCTTAAATTGTTTATACCCTCTCTGTGTTTAAAATCCACAACAACATGCTGATGATGGTATGACGGCGGCGCTAATGTTAAAAACCTGTGCAAAATGAACAGTATGAAATTGGTGCAGCTGAGTGTTAAAATATGTTTTTATTTTTTATATTTGGCATTTTATTGTAGCATAATAACATATTTTGATATTTTATTGCTAGTATGAGTTGATGCCTACTTTAACCACCCTGTGCATGCTGGAATGCATTAAAATTTTGATCGGATGTTTAGATTGTCTGCCTTCTGAGAAACCCTGCCTTGTTTTGTTTTGTTATAAATACTACTTTGTGTTAACTCTGACAGTGGTTTCATAAATCCTGCCTAGAGTTGATTCTGAAAAGTCTCAGAGGCCCATTATAGTCTTAGATGAAAGGAATGAGACTGTTTATTTGGCGTGTGGAGCATTTGATCAACTTATCGTGACTGTTCCACCAACGCATCTGCCTTTGGTGCATGGCCCTGAGCCCGAGCTGGGCTCTGTTGTGCTGAGAGAGCCTGGGGAGGCTTAGACAAGGCCAAACAACACCCTTCATGCTCAGTAGGTGATCAAATCTCCCTGGCAGCGGCTTGGCACTGGATGGAAGTTGGCGCTAGGGTTAGATGAGTGATGATAGCCATGTAGGAACTGTAGGTTCCCGGAGTTATATCCATAACCATACTGTTGGCCATGGAAACACATTTAAAACCCATGTGAACACTGTCTCACAGAGTGATACAGCACATCAAGTTCTTATAATGGAAACACACAAACATAAAGATGGAAGTTGGGTCTTTATTCTATTTAAGAGGCAGCATGGTGGACTAGTGGTTCAGATACATGACATATATTGTAATCGTAACATCCCTGGTTCGAATCTTTTCATTCCCCACCCCCCACTCTCTTTTCATTTCTTGTCATCTCTCTACTGTCAACTTTTTAAAAGTTAAAAATACAAAAAAAGAAACATAGACGGTTGGTTACAGTCAAGCTTCAAATTATTTGATCAATATTTGTTTTATATCCATCGCCAAGCTTTTCCTGGCACCCCACATGTTGAAATACAGAGATTTATATGTCGGTGCATTGGCTTGAATTTCTTGGAGGGAAAAGGGTGTAAATAATGTCCAACTGCAAAGGCTTCAGAGGAAATTCGTAGGTACAAATCGGAGCCGGGCGCATACAGTGCAATCTGTGGTCAAAACAAACATGTTCAGAACACAAGCCAGGGACAAGGACATCAGGAGCCCTTATACAGATTTTACCCCACAGTCATCCATGAGCTTTCCATTGTTGCATGGTTTACCACAGTGCTGGGGTCTCGGATTATTAAATTAGCTGGAAAACTGCATGCAGAAAAGAATGGAGCAGCTCTTTTGAATTCACCACACGTTATAAAATTTAGGGTTTACAGTTTTACTTAGCAAAGTAATCTGATCATTGATATTACTTTAATATGTCAGACTACGTTAAGGACCCTTGGGGTCCACTAAACCCTACTTATGAGGCCATTAGGATGTGTTGAGCCACAACGTGGAAAACTTATGGCACTTACCAGAGCCTACTGATGTAATGGACTACACAAATCAATTTATAAGTAACAAGCTTGCACTGCATGTTTTAGCAAACTCTCTACACTAGATACGAGAGGAAACTTATCTCTCAACTAAATCTAAATCTCTTATAATACAAAACAATCATATAATGCAAAAATTACAAGAAATAACTGAAAGGTGGATCGGCCTGAGTTAGTGCAGATGTACTAAATTACATTTTCTGCTGCTTTAAACAGAAAGCTGGGCTGTGTTCAGTTGGGATTTGGTAGACATGCTCTATTGCCATCTCCGACAGTGCCTGAACCGAGGCCCAGGAGTCAATTCCACTGACTCACTACAAGACCGCCCTCTGTCTCCTCTTCTTCTTCTGTCTCTCTTTAACTTCACTTGACCATGTTCCTTTACTGCACTACTGTACTTGGAAGCTTTCTCTTGGCATTTCTTCTTAAAGGAACATTCTGGTATTTTTACGTTTGTACTTATTTATTACACATGTTTCAAATGATATTGTTGTGTGGAATAGTTCCAGTAGAAAATGTGGATTGTTTCAGTCCAGTTTGGTGCTCTCAGATTCTGGGTCAGAGGTTTCCTTACCTAAGTGTTGGCTGCTAAACAGTTGACTGCTTTAGTTAGATTGTTCTGGCACTATGGCTTGTTAATGCAAGCCTGTTGGGCAGGTGAATTCATGTTTCAGGTTTCAGAGCTTCCTACTTGCACAACCTGGTAAAATTTTCTAAACAGTCCATGTTTTCAGTTACAGCGTTTACTAAGACAGTAATGTAAATCTGAGCAAAGTAAAAAACTATTGGCTTACTGTTTTATTTATTTTGAGTAACATGCATGTTAATACCCTAATATGATTAATCCAAACATATTTGTCCATACTAAGGGGAAAATGCCTCTCTCTTTGTGCCAAACAAAGCAGTTCAACAACAGAGGTCACTATAAGATAGTCACAGCACAGCAGCCACTGGCATTCATCAAACTGGCAGTTACAGAGAGGAGTAGCAGCTTTATTTCATCACCAACCATTACTCATTCATTTTAACTAGCTTCACAAATAAGCTCATATTTTATCTACTGTATTTTATTTTGTTTACAACATGCTGTGCAACTAATATGACTCTAAGGGGCCCCTAACAGTCTGGCTGCAAAGAATCAGGCATGTTTGATGTGGAGGGATGCGTGTATCCACAGCAAAACTCTTGCACCAGATCATAATTACGCGATTATACTGTTACACATATACACAAACTTTGGTCAGCGGTGCCTTTGTTGACACGAGTCGGGCCTTTCTCTCTGGAAATTGAGGCGGGTTTTGTGCAGTAGCCGCAGTTTAATTGCTGACAAGTGTGCTTTGTCTCAAATATGTATGGCCCGGTTGCATAAACACAGTAACGACGGCTAATTAGTTTTGGCCGGGCTTTGTTTGCCTTACAATCAGGGGATTATTTTCCATAGCACCACTATGGTAGAGCCTGTGATTATGATGTGTATTTATGTTAAGATGTATGTATGTAGTTTTTGAGAGTAATATAATCTGTTATGTGAGTTTAATAAAAGAGAGAGGATTTCTTGGAATTACTTCCTCGTGCAGTGGTTTAATTTTCAGAAAAGAAGCAGAAAGAAAATATCTTTTTGACCCAGAAACTGTGCCCCTCTAGTATTACAGGGTTCTGACCCAACACATTTCAGCTCTCTGTTCCTCTGAGACTCTTGAAGAGACTGAAACAGACCACAACTCTGCTGTTGGAGGGTGAGGAAAGTAGTGTTGCAGCTGCTTAAGAGTGACCTCACTGTACATTCACGCTCACAACACACACAACAGAATGCTATCATCCACTCTTCTGGCTCGACATAAGGAAACAATATGTAGCACCCTGTGAAATCTTCCCTGAAGGATCAACAAACAACGGGACTAATCACCACCTGAGGAACAACAAAGACATGAGAGCACTGTACTGTTGAAAAGGGTACAAGATTTATTTGATCCGGTTCACAGCAGCAGGGAACGACATCATGTTGGACTGGTTGTATTTGATTTGATACAGCTCATCAAGTGGAATTCATTCCAGTGTTGTTGTTTTTTTCCCTCCCACAAAAAGTTCAAATTCTCCACCAAAACTGGACAACCGGGAGCAAGATACATTTACCACCACTGATGCACTTTAAGAGCAATTTTCAACATCTGTTTTATACGTAGTTGTTAATATTTTTAGTGTTCGGACACATGTGCTGTCATGTTCAGTTAGGATCTATATAGTAAACGTTAGACTAATAAAACTTAATCAGCCAATGTAGCTTTGATCTAGAACTAGTGTTATCCAGCATCTGTTTTCACATTTGAGTCTCCAGACATATCATATGCCTTGATGCCAAACACGTCCGTCTATATTGTAATGAGTCTGTGTCTGTGGGTTTCCATTAGTCTGCCTGAAATTCTAACAAGTAATTCATTATTTTCAGCTGTGTGTAAATCTTGAGTGGTCCTTTAACCCTGAGCTGATCTCACACTGATGATCTCAGCAAAGTTAATTGCTGGGAGCATGACATCATTCTGCAACAGTGACCATATTGCATCGGTGCGTTACATTTCCAGCAGACCACACAGAGATTATAACTGAGTCAATGGGTGCAGCAGTACAGTTATTTATCAAACTGTAACTGTAGTAGTCACTCTGCAAGAGGAGTTGGTGGCCACTGTTTGTTAGAAAATTATTTACTGGTTTGAACTATGTTTGGTTGACCAAACAATTGTTTTACTTACAATTAATCAGTATAAAATGTTCTCTGTCTTCTCTGTGCACAAGTAGACAGGAAGAGAAATCCCTCCTCTGTGGCTCTACCTGAGGTTCCTTCCCTTTTCCCTCTTTTTTTCTTATTCTTCTCTTGTCTGAATCAAGAAGATAATAAGAATAAAGGCAAAATTTGGGGCTATATAAGTAAAATTGATTTCACATGAAGTAGCTATTAAGTAACTTTTGCGAAATGATTGTGCAATTTTTTTATTATTTCTAAGAACATATGATGAAATGTTTTATTAAGCAGTATGATTTTTATTACAAAATAAAAAATGTTTTTGAACATGTTCCTTTGCAGTTTTGAAATACTGAGTAGTGAAGCCTTTTTTTAATTAACACACTATGTTTTGAGCTTCATAACCTTTTGGAGTGATATAATATGTGGATTTTAAGGCTGTGTAAATCAGCCTTTATTCCAGGATTAACAGACTCTCCTCTCCTTGGTTATATCGCTGATGGGAACACTATCCAACCCCCCTAAACCGATGCTCAACTTGTGCCAAAGAAGAAGCCAAATGCCAGCTTTACAAAGTGGTTATTATCTCAAAGTTATGTTGATGATCTGAATTTTTTTTTCCGTTGCAGATCACTTCACTCAGGTGCTGCACTGTGAACATGAGTGCGTTCGAGACCTTGCCACCCGGCCAGGCCGCCTCTCACCCATGGAGAACTACCTTCCTCTGCACTACGACTACCTTCAGTTTGCCTACTTCCAGGGTAAGTTGTTCACTGTGCAGCACAGGGAACAAAACTCTACCCAAACATGACTGACTGTGCTTGGTGTAATTATAAACAAAGAAGATGGATACACCCATGGTTTCATACACCCAAACACACACACACATACATGCATGTACAAGAACTTGTGGTGACCACAAAGAGCAGCAGACACGGTCGAGTCAGTCAACTGTTAACCGCGCCCTGTTTGGAGGTTCACATTGTTTCACAACATTATCTGGCGTGTGTTTGTCTGTGAAACCTTTATATGGGTGTATCCAGTCTGATGTCGGGGCTCTAGGTGTGTTTGTCTCTGTGTGTGTATGTGAATGCATAGCCTCAAGTCTTCTGTAGTGAAAGATGAAGATTAAGTAGTGAAAACCTCTTCTAGACAAGGGTGTTGGCAGAACAACGAAGCCTAGTTGGGAAAGACAGTGTGTTGAGTGGTTGTGAGATCACCAGATTATGCTTAATGACCCATAAGCATGTGGCTCTAATAAAGCAAAGTGGATCATTGGATCTGTACAAACACACTGAGAGCAGGCTTTGATTCCTAACAGCCGCTGATGGGGGTGTGTGTGTGTGTGTGTGTGTGTGTGTGTGTGTGTGTGTGTGTGTGTGTGTGTGTGTGTGTGTGTGTGTGTGTGTGTGTGTGTGTGTGTGTGTGTGTGTGTGTGTGTGTGTGTGTGTGTGTGTGTGTGTGTGTGTGTGTGTGTGTGTGTGTGGCCTCAAAACCTGAGTTTATAAAAAAAGTCAGTGATTCTGACTGTATTATAAAGGTGGAAATGGCTCACAAGTTAGTGTGTATCACTTCTTATGAAATGACTCATCTACTTCTGTTTGTTTTTAAAGTTATATTCATGACTTTTTTCATGATATCAAACCTAATTTAGAACATTATCAATGGCTGGTAAAAGGCATTCTGCCTCTGTATGTACAGTAGTACTAGAGAAGTCATTGTTACTGACAGTCCTCCTTTTCCACGAGGGATTGAAATTGTGTACCCAAACTGTGGATGTCCTTTTTAAATGTCCTTTATTAAAACGAGATTCCATGAATCCTCTGCCCACGGTTTGTTTGTGTGGGCTGTAAACAAGTATATCGGTTACTCTTCTACTGTTGCTTCTCCCACTTAAGTAGAGGAATTTGAACACACCTCACTAGTGACAAACTATACTCAGTCAGTAAAGTTACTGCCTGACATTTTATGGGGTATAAACATAAGTCAATAATTGACAATTTTGAGTGGAGGGGATATTTAAGTGTTATAATTATGTGTATATACCCACGAGTGTCTTTATTATTTAAAAAATTAAAAACTTTCAAACATTTAAAATGCTGTTAGGTTGCTCACAGAAAATATCTATTTTTATGGTGTGTCACTCACCCTGACTCTAAACTGATTTACATTTGTGTCTGTATTTTAATGGGGAACAAAAATACTTAGTAGGATGCTGCATCCCTGCCAGTGAAGGTTTTATTTAAATGCAATCAATTAACCTACATTTATCTCAAATAAGTATTACTTAAATCAGGATTCTTTAAATCACTTGTGTGTTACCCAATTTAAAATCAAAGTAGTGTATGATAAATATGGAATACAGGGCTACGTCTCATTTGAGACTGAGCCAAATTCATTTATATTGAGCATGATTAGATTGTATATTTTAGCGTACATGAAATGCAGCAGGATTTTAAAATCAAATTTTTTAAGTATCAACATTCCTCCTGTCGGAATTGGAAATCTATGTCAGTTACTACTCGCCACACGTCAGTAATCTGAGTCCTCCAACACCCAGCAGCGCTGTGGCCTGCTGTGTTTTACACTCCACTCCACACTGCTGCAGTGGACGTTAGCCATCACTCAGCAGCCTCTCCATTGTGCTTTAGCTGCTTAAGTTTCCTAAATAAATCCATAGTGAGGTTTTTCTGTCTGACGGAGCTCAAATCTCCAGACTCGTATTGACCTGGGAACATGCGGCTGACAGCAGCAGATACGCTGCCTCAGCCTCGGCCAAGACAGGAAGTCTTTGGTTAACCCTGCATCTTTACAAGCTAGTAAAGAATGTGTTTGTGTGTGCACTTAGCAGCAGTGGTATCATTAGCAGTATCTGGTGTTTGTAAGTCTGTGTTTGAAAGAATATATGTCATAATGTGTTTGCATATGTGTCCAGGGCAGGAAAACATTAGAGATAGTCCTGTTGTGCATTTGTCTCACTTCATCACTGACACTGTGTGTGTGTGTGTGTGTGTGTGTGTGTGTGTGTGTGTGTGTGTGTGTGTGTGTGTGTGTGTGTGTGTGTGTGTGTTTGTGTGTGTCTGTGTGTGTGTGTGTGGGGGGGGTTTCCACTATGACAAACATAGAGCAGCTTTTACTCCATTGTGTTAACGGTGTTGGAATGTCAGCCATCATAGATACATTTTCACATCACAGACACACACGCACACTGGTCATCCAGTCCGTCCAGTAGATGGCTCAGCAGCTCTGTACAAAATATTAGGAACCTGTATTTCTGTTGTGTTGAATGCATTTCCCTCCTAAAGAGACATCTGCAAAGACATCTTCTATTGTTTACATCCATGCTTTCTAGCTGGCCGTCTTAAAAGTTGAAACCGACCACAAGTTACCTTTAATTTTGTTCCGATTTAAACCAATTTAACTGTTTTCTGTCTCTCTCTGCAGTGGACAGGCTCGAGGAGGCACTTCAGTGTGCTCTGACCTACCTGTTATTCCACGAGGGAGAGGAGTTTGTTACGGACAACGTGGATTACTACAGAGAGGTGCTTGGACACAATGGCAAGCCAAGAGAGGTCAGGATCTAAGAGTGAAAGATGGATGTTTCTATTCTTAGTGTTTCATTAACTTAAAGGGGCAATCGCATCGTTTTGAAGTGAATTATTGTTTCTATGTATTAATAGCTGTGTCTGTGAAAGATTAGGTGGATCATCATTAATGACTTAGGATGGGGAAGAAAATGGATATAAATAATAATTTAAGTTATTTTGATCATTCTTTCCAATATCAGTTGTCTAGACAGTGCTTCAGAATAATAAAAAACACAAGCCATACACAAAGTTAGGACAACTAAAAGACAACAACAAAACAGGTTGAAAGGAATAAAAGGAATTAAAGAAAAAACAATGTTAAACACATTAAAGTTCGGTTTTCAAAGAAAGATTTACAGATTAAAACAAGAGTAAGGTTTAAATATTCAATGTATCTGCGGAAACAAATGCAATATAAGCTGCTCCAGATTGGGGTGGAATAGTTAGAACATTATACATATTACGTATTTTCCTCATAGGTAATTAAAAGCATTTAAAATCAATTTTAAAAGGCAACCGGTGTAATGAGGCTAGAACTGCAGTAATGTGAGAAGACCATTTTGTGTTGGAAGTCTGACATGGGACTTTTGAATGAGTTGTGGATAAGACTGAGAAAACTGAGTGGAAAAAGCATTACAATAATATGAGCAGGAGTGTTGGAGGAGTGGAGAGGGAAGGAAAGTAGACATGCAAGGAGAGAGCCGGGAGAGGAAAAGCATCGATTTGAGTGAAAAAGAGGAGACGGGAGGCAGCCGGCTGTATGCTGTATTTCTTGGATGAACTTGCTACTCGCAGCTTGGCAGCAATTGCCTCTTAAAGTTTGCTTTTCACTTGTATATGTTCTCCATCCAGCTGGAAGTATCAAGCAAATTTTGCTACGTCAATGTGTTTACGACAACTTTTTTTTTTTCCTCTGGGCCTGCTCTTTATGATTTTCTTGCCCCCTGGTATGCATAATTACAGTCTGAATGTCTGCCCACTAGAGAAAATGACATTTGTTAAGTCTGGCTACTCATCAGCAGCTTCAGCATAGAGAATTTGTCCTTTCTAAACTCCTATCAGCTGCTCAGGAAAAGTCAAGCAGTGCCGTGTTTAAGTCCCAATTACACCACCTCTTTTTCCTAGAAAGCCTGGTACTCATTATAGTGAGTGCAGCTCCCAGCAGGACAGTGTGAATGTGTGAGTGTGTGTGGCTGACATCGCATCTATGTGTGTTTGAGATAAAGACAGGCTGAGAGCCGATGTGTTGCAGCTCATGCTTATGTTTTTCTACTCATAGCTTACATTTTTCTAGCCCTCAAGTCTTTCCAGTCCCGTCAGTTTACAGTACAGTCATTGGCCGACGGATTGCCTCTCCTCTCTGTGTCCTCTCTCCCTCCTCAGGCCTCGGGGAGCTCATTTACAGAGCCCTAGATCTCAGTGCCAGACCCAACCTGCCTCCCTGCCAAAGCCCTTTCAGGAATGGTGGAGGAGGAGAAAAAGTCAGGGTACTAGGGGGAAAAAATTGCTTCTTTTTTTTTAATCACTACAAGAAAAATGCTACTGGATGGTCAAGTTTCATAATACTCACCATCATGGCCTCACTGCCTCTGGAAGCCCCGCCTCCAACCACCTCTCCCCTTCTCACACAGACAAAAACACTAACATTTAATAACAAAATAAAAAAAGACTCAACTTGGGCTTTTTCACCAATGACTTTAATTGGACTTGAGCCTTTTGACTTGAAAATATTTGATAACCTTCCCCAAGCCCAAAGATTAAAAAGTATTTTCCACAAACCAGTTCATTATCTAAAACGGCTATATATATTATTTAATAATTCCCAGCCAGTTGACTCTTAATTCCCCAGATCCTTTGTTTTAAACCAAACAATCAAGCTGCAAGAGAGAACCGTGAAGAACTAACGTTAGTATAATTCGTTCTGTTGTTAAAATGGTATTATATTTGGTGAAAAGCGCATTGTGAGATTGTAGCACTCGAAAGTCAAAGTGTAAGACTTGAGACTTTCTTGTGACTTGCAACACAATGACTATGTCCCACATCTGGTATGAAGTCTTATAGGACATTTACAAAAACGTACACAAATAGAATAAATCATATGATATTACTACAAATATATCTGTATCAGTGTATATGTCGACCAATGATTGACAGGAAAATGATAGTACAGAAACTGCAAAGACACAAGCAGTCGTTCCATTACATATTTTGTCCACCAGAGAGCATTGACATTCTGCCATTGTCTTTCTTTCTCAGTCCACCTTTATACAAAGCCAAAAGCAGCTCCCAATGTTACTGTATTATTTTAGGTTTTACGTTTTACTTCCATTCAGGTTTTTCATCCAGGCAGGAAACGGTAGGAAAACTGTCCCTCTGAGAAAGCACAAAAAAAAAAGAGAGTGGCCATCACACTCCATTAGTCCTAGCACTGTGAGGCGAGAAGAACTGAGGGAAAGAGAAACTCATTCTGGTTCCCTTTTATTTGGGTGGTGAAACAGTCAGGACAGTAGCACATTGTCACTTTTAGAGTTTGGAAAAGTTTTGGTGATGAGCTTTGATACATGACATAAATATAAAACCATAAAAAATCACTCACTCTACTGTAACTGTAACTGTAAGAATGAGAGCAATGCAGTGATGTGCAAAGTGGGTTTGCTAATGTAAACATTATTTTAAAGCTTTCCTTTGTAGAGGTTGTACAGATTAAAACAGCAAGGGGGACAAAGATTAGAAAGACGATTCTCCCAGCTAAAACATTGGCACAAATGTGGAATTTCTCTATAGTACTTTTTTACTATTTCTTGACCTTTTCTAGTTACTTTCCTCCTACCACCATCTGTCAATGATAAAAGCATGTATTTATATTTACCTTAATAACTCAGGAAACTGTTTAACATTTACTTTTTGTGTGGCTGTGTTGGCAGGAAGCTGCATTATACCTGAGGAGGCACAAACAGGAACTGGAGCTCCTTTTGATTGGCAGTAAAACCATGGGTGTGGAATTTACTGAAGGGGTGAGTTAACAGAATATAACATTATCCCAAGTCTGTTTCATTTTTCATGTATAATTACAAGCTCGAAGCAGACTGAGTGCCCTTTAATTCTCAGTTTTTGCCCAGAAATGAAAATAGATTGTGTAATTTAACGGGCAGTTATCCATAAGCCAGTCCACATGTTTCTGATGCAGAGCAGATCTTCTGCTGCGTGTGTAAACCATTAATGTGCCACTGCTGCCTGGCTGACTCAAGGCAGGGTAACAGGTGTCTGGTACGGCCACCACTGTCTTCTCAAACAGCAGCGACACCTGCTGGCCAAACTGACACTTGTCATAGTTCACATTTCTGCGCAGATTATACATTTTCCCCTATCTTTGTTGCAGAATTACTGGAGCAGCACAGGTGGAAGAGATGACTCAAACAGGTAGAGAGATCTCAGCATCTGTCAAACTGTGAAAAGTGTACTCTTGAACATATTACAGTAGTTTGTCTTCTCATTACCTCAGCTGTGTATTTAGAGATTTAAATCAGTATTTTTGTATGTGGATCATGTGTGGTCTGAAAAGGGTTTCCCGTAGGGACGAATCCACAGAGAATGATACCCTACTCTGCAGTTTGCCTTAAGTCTATAGAGTATTTATTGCTTATTTCACCTTTAGTTCACTCTCACCGTAAGTTCACTCTGACCGTTCTCACAGCACCATTTTCATTAGAAGCTGTTTTCAGCATTTAGCAGCTGAAGTGTCAGATTGTACAATCAGGAGTTGGTAGAGCCCAAAAATAGAGCAAAAAGGAGAGTGACTATTGGAATCATAATGTTGCTTCATATGTGGAAATAGACAACAATTTTCTAACAAAGTCATCATATTAATTTAAACTCAGTGATAATATGTCAAGACATTTGGTAACAATTTGGATTGTCCACCTACAGGTAGTTTATAGTATTTGTAACATTTTGATTGCTTATTAGTTGAGATTCAACATTTGGTTATGTTTAGGCTAACATCTTGGTTAATGTGATGTGGAAACCTCTTGGGTATGTTCATGAATTTCCATATGTACAGATATGTATAGATAAGCTGTTAAACATTTAGAGACAAAGTGAAACAGTTGAAATGTTATAATACATTTAAATCGTAATTTTGACCACGACAAAACACATTCTCTATTCTCTGTTCTCCCAGGATTCCCTCTGGTACAGACGGCTGGATGGAGTATGTTCCCATCTCGGAGAAGAAGACAGTCACTGTTGTTGCTCCACAGCAACTCAAAGAAGGTAAACCTTCACTGCAACCGGAGAAGAAGCAGAACGACAGTTATACTGCTAAGAGAAAGTCATTAGTGTTCAGTTAGATCTCATCTGACCACCATGGTGGAGATGTTGCATTCTTTAAATACTGTTCTGTGATCTGTGTAGGTGGCCCCTTGGTGTATGACAGTGTGAAGCTGGTGCAGAACTCTGCGGCCTTGAACGGGACCCAGCGGGTGCTGCTGGATCATGTTATATCTGAGGAGGAGTGTTCAGACCTCAGACACCTGGCACATGTAAGGGCATTGCACAACGTTAATAAAATATGCATTATAAATCACTCATGAACAGTAAGAAATCTTACAATTGACTGAATTGAGTTTGTTCGTGTGCTAACAGTAAAGATCAGTATGTCAACATGTGTTTGAAGCTTGATTCTGGCTTTTTATCATGTCCCCCCAGGCTGTCACCATGGCAGGAGACGGTTACAGAGGGAGGATGTCTCCACACACTCCCAATGAGAAGTTTGAAGGAGCCACTGTACTTAAAACCCTGCAGGTACTCTAACCACTAAACATGAACACTGCGTGATCTACAAAGATTAGATCGAACCAAATAGTTGCAAGAAGCCGATATAAAATTAGAGAACAGTTGAATTCAGGATCCAACATTAACTTTCTGGCTCATCTGCTAATGGCAGGTAAACTGACAAAATGTACCAATCAATCAGTCAGTTTTTACCAGCCATAAAACTGCATTTTGCATTATTTGAGATAAAATATTTGCTAACGTTGCGATGGGTACAGTGGACAGTGGGGGTCACATTAGAGTTCATTAAAATGTGTCCCAACTTACCTTTATAGTATCTTTCTTTTGTTGTTTTATTATTTTATTGACTATACACGTTACAGTCTATATTTTGTTTTTCTTCATTGCAGTACGGCTACGAGGGAAGAGTGCCAATGAGGAGTGCTCGCCTGTTCTACGACATCAGTGAGCGAGCAAGGCGGATAATTGAGTCTTACTTTCTGCTCAACTCCACCCTGCACTTCTCCTACACACACCTGGTGTGTCGAACAGCTATCACAGGTCACTAACACACACACACACACACACACACACACACACACACACACACACACACACACACACACTTGATACCAACACACATATACCGTCATTTTATATTGCGTCTTTACTGGTCTTAACTGTTAATGAGGGCAACATAGAATTAGCTTCAATTCATGTACTTATATATATTCATGCTTTTTGTGTGGTGGTTGTCTGTTCACAGGCCAGCAAGATCACAGGAATGACTTGAGCCATCCCATCCACGCTGACAACTGTCTGCTGGACCCCGAGGCCAACGAGTGCTGGAAGGAACCACCAGCGTATACATACAGAGACTACAGGTACAAGGTTACTTCTGTCAGCACAGTTAGAAATGATGAACCTACTTTGCTGCAGCTGTATTACAGTGAAAAATTAACAATGGTCTCTATCATCTCCCTTAACTTAATTTTGAGTCTGTACTGATCTCTTCTTTACTTTTTTATTTTCAGTGCACTGTTATATCTAAATGGAGATTTTGAAGGAGGGGAGTTCATATTCACAGAAATGGATGCCAAAACAGTGACGGTAAGACCTGAGATTTCTTTCTTTCTACAGGACTAATCTGGGCCTGGTCAGCCCCTGTTGAGGAATGGACAAAGATACTTAGTACCTTTTGGCAGAAATAACCACACACACTCTCCTCTAAAAAAGGTTCAATAATATATCGACAGTATTGACAGTAACAACTTGGTACAGTCAAGCTATACTTAAAGTGTCATGGGTGTTAACCTGTCCTCTGTTCCTCCTCCGTCTCTTCCATCCTCTCCAGGCGTCCGTGAAGCCAAAGTGCGGCAGGATGGTGGGTTTCTCATCAGGAGGGGAGAATCCTCACGGTGTGAAGGCCGTCACCAACGGACAGCGGTGTGCTGTCGCTCTGTGGTTCACCTTGGACCCGCTCTTCAGAGAACTGGTAAACTAATGTTTCAATTAAAGAACTTTGGCAACCGTACTGTAATAACCATTCTTCTTCTAGGTTCATCCTAATGTTGACATAATGACTGAGGATTTACTAATGGAGTGAGGGTGGACATGTTAATGTAGTGGTACATGAATTAGTGGCATACCTCTGGGGATGGCAGTGTTGGTCTGTCGGTCGGCCAATATCTCAACAATTAATGGAAAGATTATTTTGTACAGAGATTCATAATCCACAGGGGATGAAACCTACTGACACTGGTGGTACTGACATTTTCTTGTTTTTGGTGAACTTTTGAATGAACTTCCATGAAAGTTCAGACATGTTCCCCTCAAGATGAATTGTAATAACTTTGATGATCCTCTGATTTTCATCATCAGGTCAAAAAATTTTATTCATCCAGCACTTTTATGATCAAATACCTTCAAAATTAATGACATTCTCATCAGCCTCAGCTCTACTTTGCTAGTTTCTAACTTGTTTAGTGCTGTAGAGTGGCTGTAGACTCTTTCATCTTACTGAATCTTGTAGTATGGGACTAAATTGTGACTTAGCAGCTAAAGATTAATATTATAACAGTTCATTAAAGGGTATTAACAGTTTATTGTGTTAGACTAGAATTTAAGAGATTCCTGTGAGAAAGAAAAGTACTGCCATGAGAAAGTGAACGTGTTTGCTCTGAGAAGCCTGGGAACAGATGCTGTTATAATTTTTTAACCCTGAGCTGGATAGATAGCAAAGCCAAAACCAATTATACTGTATTATAAAAAGGATTGGAAACTCTATATTATTGGACAAATCCAAGTTGGTATGTTTGGGAGGCACATCAGACCAACATTGCTTTGGCTAACTTAAGAACAATTATTGCTCTAGCTTAAAAATGAACTTCCATTTTCACCATTTCCCCCCCTTTTCTCTCCCAGGAGAGACTGCAGGCAGATGAGGTGATCCAGGCGTTGGACACACAGTCTGTGTGGGGTCAGGGCCTCACCATCAACCCTAAAGATGAATTGTAGAGACAGAAAAAAAACAGCTTCGCCCCTCCCCACTCCTTTCCATCAAATCCTTCTATATATTTTAACTACTTATTGAATTGACCTTTGGATCCGAACATTTCTATTTTTGTACTGTTTGAAGTGCAAGATTAATAATATTGTCCTTTTTGTGTTGTCAGTTGTATTTGTCAGGTTTTTTTTTGTTGTTGTTTTGTTTTTCTACACACAATTACTTGAGTTTACCTTTGGTTCTTTGTCTTTGCTTCCAGTGACAGCCTCTAGTAGAGAAAAAAAAATCAAATTCACTTTATTTTGTTGATCCTGGTGAGTTGGCAAAGTAGACCATTATATATGTAAGACTGCTCATAACCTGTAATCTCACTAAACTGTGAAGAAGCCAAGGAGAAGAACGGTGGTTGACATTTTTTTTTTGCTTTGAGTTGTTCTGAACAACATATTCAATTCATTCAAAAACACTATGTACAGATAGTAAGAAATACCTTTCAGTGGTCAGTGGTTAAATAATATTAGATTAAGTCTTCACAACTGGTACTGTTACATATGCTATTACTAACAAAATTATGATATTTAGTAATGCATTTTTTTTTTTTTTTTTTTTTGTTATTTCAGTGCCAGTAATAATTATTTTCACCGTAGGCAGAGCACTGTTTTTCTAATTTGGGTATCTGATTTTCAAATAGCACTCATACAAAGACTTTAAGAAAGAGATATGTTTTAATATGCTGAATATTTAATGATCATGCACTCTGCCCTTCTCTGTGTGTCAAGTCTTAAACTGTCTTCTGTCACTACTTTTTGTCCACTTTTCTTCTTGTTGTTGGCGTGTTAAATCACTCCCCTCCTTTCTGGGCACACAGAGCAGAATACTGGTTTACATGTTCACTGACATGAGAAGATGTTGTATGTGTTTGTGTTTGACTTTTATTTATGTGGTTTTATTAATAGACAGCTGCTGTTGTAACTGTCGGCATTTAATATTAGGAACTTTTATTCATAAAAGCTGTTAATCGTTCCTGTTTCAAGGAATACATATTCGTTCGGCCTTTTATGTCTTTATATTTGTGTTGATGATACAGGTGATATGCCGAGTCGTGCACTGTAAATCCAATGGAAAGAAACATACAAAGAGTAGCTTCTTTTTTTTTTATAGATTCAAACTGCTAACCAGAAACTTAATCCTGTTGTTTTATGAGGTTGGCCACTTTTGTTTTCACTGATATTTAATTCTGAGATGCTGTAGCACAAAAATGTATGTGTACATGCCTATAAATTAAAAATATAATATTCCATATCTATATTGATGGTGTATGTTTGTTTTATTTATTCATGTCATATTATTCAGCATGAAATTAAAGTAATTCAGTTCTTCTATCCTATAAGAATGCCTGTTAAATTAAGAATTCTGTTTCATGTCTCTCAAACATATTTACCAATAGTATTTTCCTCTTACAGAATTATATTTCATTCCTTTTACAGTTTCATCCATTAAAGTAACCTGTTGTAAAAGTGAACATATGCTTGTATATCTATCTATCCAAATGCTCTGACAAAAGGCATACAGTAACTAATGGTTCAGCTCTTGTATTTAAGAAGAGTAAAGTGCGTCTGCCACTACACAAGGTAAATACAGTAAAAAACAAAAACAAATCATTCACTCTATACATTGTATCACACCTTGAGGGAATTTTGATGAATTTTTCACCCAGGTATGTTCACACTGAGTGGAGGTCACGGCGGTAAACTTTCTTTGTCTTTTAACACAGCACAGAAATAAAAAGTATCAAACAAAACTGTAGCAACAACTGAATAAACAATGTCTTATGCTCCACACCAAGTCTTGTGTCGTCCAGTCTGTGGTTAAACTGCTGTATGATGAGATTATGAAGATAATCTCATCATGTGAGGTGAATTCAGCGGGCATGTTGGATTTGTTTGGTTCAGAAGCGGTAGGCCAGTTGCTCAGTGAATCTGAATGGCTTGGTTTCGTTGACAGTACACAGCAAGTCCCTCATTCGTCGAGCACGTCGCTCCTCAAGCACCAACCTGCGGGAGCGCTCTCGAGCCGCCTGCTGCTCGGCCCGCTTCTCTGCTCGCTTCCGCTTCAGCCACCTGAGGACGGGAAGAGGGTGGAGATGGGGATGCTATATTACCAAATACCCATATCATAGTGCATATATGAGGACATAGTTGTGGATTCAAGCTGTTTGAGGGGCAGGAACAAGAAAATAAAAGGGGCACCAGCATGCAGAAAGTTGTGATGCATTTATGGGGAAACGGGTTAGTCAGGGTGCTACCCTTGAAGGCACTTTATCATGTTTTATCTACCATAGGGGCATCCAAGGGTCAAAGTTGATGATAAAAACATTCATCATTGGTTAAAATTACACTTCTCATAATACAATTATTTCTATGTTATACTATGTTATCAACCAGTATTAACTAAAATGCCAGTACGTTTGACACTTGTGCCCGCAGTGTGAACGTAGCCTAAGTGACCCAAATCAGATTTATTTTGGTAATATTTAACTCAAATCACACTGAAACTGATCTTTTCATTTCGGATTTGGGCCACTTTCATATGTGGTCTAAATCAGACACAGGTCAGATTTGTTTTACAATGTGACCTCAGTCTGAACAGTCATATCAGACTTGATGTGAATTTTATGTAACTCTAGATCTACGTTAATCACACAGGTCATTTCAGGACCATGACCTGTTCACACTGGAGTCTGATATGGGCCGCATTTAAAAAATAACGTGAACAGAAGAAAATCTGATCTGAACAATAAATCAGAATTGAGTGCTGAGGTTTGCAGTGTGAACGTAACCTTACTTGCTGAATGAAAAGTTAGCAGCAAACTCACAGTTTGAAGGCACGTTCACACTCCTCGCGGCTGCGTAAGAGGTAACCACTGTCCTCCTCGAGCCTCTTCATCTCCACCAGCTGTCTCTCTTTCTGCTGCTGCTCCTGCTTCCTCTGAAGCCACATCTTGAAGGACTCCTCTGGGTCACTGGTGTCTCTCTGCATGAGGATGCAGAAATACATCCAGTAATGAGGGGAAAACGATGGCAAACAGTTACTACAGATGAATGACTGGTGCAGTGATGTGTTATGAATCAACTTTAAGTTTCTGTTTATGACAAATAGACCATTGCAACTACCTTAGTAAACAACTACTTTGCAGAAGAGGATTAAGAAAAATGAGATGCTCTGAGCATCTAAAAAAGCTCTACTGTACTATATGACTCGGCTTCATACATGAAAATGATTAAATCACCATTTATTTAGGTAGCATGTAATTCTACCAAAATATAATGATAGATTACTATTTATCTTGAATTTTGTTGGTTGAAGATTAAAGCAACACTAACAAATCAAGAGTTCCTTTGCAAAAACAGATGCCATTCTTAAAATGAATAAACCAACATCAGTTTGTTGACTGATATTCCCGTGAGAAATACAAAAACTTTCTCAGAATGTAGCCTACCTCCAGTCCTTCCACTGAACAAACATACTGCATTAAGCCTGTATCACTGCTATACATCCATCCTTAGTGAGATTGGTGTGCCCCCTTGTGGTCATACCTTAGAATTCATCCTCTCCATCTCCTGAGCTCGGTGGATCCGTCTCTCCTCCTGAAACTGCTCTCTCTTCCTCATCACCCAGGCCTTAAACGCCAGCTCGTTCTCCTGCCTCCTCTGCTCGTCTTCCTCCTGTTTCCTCTGCTCTTCCTGACATGGGAAATAAGGGTATTTCTATTCAAATTGTGATTTAAATCATTAACAGACAGCCCTCACTTTGACCAATAATACCACGTCTTTTCTACCTCTCTGGCCAGCTTCTCCTTTCTCTCCTGGATCCTCTGCAGCAACTCTTTCTGCTGTGGTGAGAGGGTGTAGGTGGCCTGGCAGGGCGTCCCGGTGGCCGACTGCACCCGCCGCTTGCTGCCGTTCCTCTGGCTGCCTCTCTGGCTGTGGCTGGCTGAGCTGGGCCTGCCCCTGGGCTGAGCTGGAGGTCTGGGGGCACGGAGGTGTTCAATGCCATGTTGGAAGGTGGAAGAGCAGGCACGAGAACGAGGAGAGGAAGAGGACCTGTGCACCTTACTGGAGCTCACAGCCTGCTCCTGGGGACGTGGGGACGAGCGTGAGTAGTCGCTGTAGTTGTTTGATATAGGAGGGAGCAGTGCTTGACTCTCCACGTCTTTCAGGCTGACTAGATCAAACTTCCCATCTTTTTCTACAAGGACTCTGCCCTCTTTTAACCCCTGCCCTCCCTCACTGCTCTCTCCAGCCCTGCCAGATCCTCCAGATCCTGCACTTCCCTCCCGTGGAGAAAGTTTTAGCTCAGAAAGCTTTGCTGACACTTCAAGCTCGGCCTCTGAATCCTTGGCTCTATCTTTGCTGCCCTGTCCCCCTTCCGCCTCAGCACTGTTGCCATCTTTCTCAAAGTGCAGTGGAGGTACCACCAGGTCCACCAGCTTCTCTTTAAAATGCAACCGCCTGCGCCTTGTCATATCTGGGGCCTCCTGGTCCCGCAGCTCCCGATTAGCCTGCTGGATCTTCTCCAGAATGTACTTCTTCTCCTCATCTGTCTGCTCATCCATCCCAGGAGGAGGTGGGACTATAGGTGATGACTTATTTGGGCTGTCTCTATCTGAGTCATACTCTAATGGCTCCATAGGAGAGGGCCACCGCTCTTCATCTTCTTCCAGCTCTGTTTTGTTGCTTCTCTTCTCTTCCTTGTGGCTTTTCGGTTTTCTTTTCATTGCTTGCCGTTCCTCCTCCTCCTCCTCCAGTTCTTTGTCAATTTCTGCTTCTATGTCCTCATATTCGGGACCCTGTGGGGTGGAAAGGCGGACACTCTGCTTTCATTAATTAGGTCTGAATGTAATCGAATGACCAACATCAATAGTGAGCAGGTAATAGGTGTGCTGGTGTGATAACAGACATGTGTGTTCATCAATATTGTATCCAGCAGTGGCACAGTGAAAGTATGTCACTGTATGTCAACAGAGTAGGTTTCACATGCCAACAGGGAGATATGCCAGATCGGGTAACTCAACACTACTCACTGTCACACTTTAACAGAGCAGGGTCGGGGACACATGCAGCATCTAGTCTGCAGTAAGTAGAGCGGGACTCCAAACTCAGTATCACACAATAAAATAAAGAAGAATAAAGAAACTTACCTGGTCCTCACTCCGGCTCTCCTCACTGATCAGCCAGTCCAGATCCTTCTCAAAGTCGTCCTCATATTCCTCTTGGGACTTTGCACAAACCACCTCACTCATAATCTTCACTGGAAGAACATTAGAAACAAATTTCAGATCTGATGATTCTTGCCACACTACGGCCTAAAGTAAAGTGATATCGGTTGGTCAATCATGAGCAAGATATCTCAACATCTACGGATCAGTTAACTAAGAAATTTGTTCTGGATATCCATGGCCCCAAAAGGAGGATTCCTAGTGATTTGCGATTTAGTGCCAAAGTATCCTCTTGACCCACACAAGAGACACAAGGTCTCCCAGAAACTAATTTGGATATTCATGGGTGGTATGCAGAAGATAAATTCAAATGTTTTTTTTAATGTCCCCCAGACACGTTGTCTTGTACCACCCTCAAGACAAAACTCAAATTTTAACGAATTTTCAACAAATAGTGATTTTTTTTCTGGGGGTGTTAAGTTGAAGGTCACTACTGGTCTTTAAACTCAATTTCAATTTTAATTGTCTTTTATATTTAAAAGAACCATAATAATAGGCAGACGGACATAGTTTCCTTCCACTCATGCAGTTTAACTCTCCCTCTCATATTAAAGAATTACAAATACTACAGGGTGTTTGGTTTGCCTATATCTAATAACATCCTTGACATCTCATATAATAATATGTGGTATGTATTCTGTATTACAGTAATCCTGATACAGAAGTAGATATAGTGAAGCAAATAAAAAACTAAAACAACATCACACAAATAAAGTCACTTTATTTTTTCTTTGGGTTGTTGTGGCACTAATTATACCATCCACCATATATACCTGTTCGGCCATCATCACACCACTATATGTGAATATATAGATCATACTGTCTATGGTTACTGTACTGCACTGGTGTTAGGGATTGGTCGCCACCTGCTGGACAGAAATCAGTAATTCAGGGTTACCTGTAAACTATTATTTTTATTTTGTGTCACAAATAAGCCCTGTCTGCTCACATGTGGGTTATGTTTACTGCAGCTATTTTATTGTGGCAGAATAAAAAAATACATTTCACTGGTTACAAGACAGAGTTTAACATACATAGACTGTAATCCAGTTTATATTTAGAGCTCTGCGGGCTGTAAAAATAAACAGGACAGAGGCAAAATTAAGAGGGTGAGTTGTAGAGCACATCCCGTGTCTAACTGCAGGAATAATATTAACCAAAGTATTTGCCTACTGGGAATAAATAGCAGTATAAATTGTGGCAATATGGTTGTTAGTAAACTCACCACTAGCAGGTTCTTGCGTAGTATATCTATTGAGTTGTTGGCGGTGAAAGAACACATCCAGCAGGGTTGTTTGTGACTATCACTCCATCTATCTGGCCCACATAGTGCCTGGCAGTCTGCGGAGCAACACCTGTGACCATAATCTGCTTCAAGTCCCTCTACAGCCCTAAAAGGTTTAATAGACCCGTCGTCATAGAGACCTACAACACGCTTTACCACTTGCGCATGCGCACACAGGACACCCGCACAGCTAAACTCGCTCCCAAGTAATAAAGTCTCCATGTACACACCGTAAAAGAGGAGAAAGCGCCTGATTGTACCAGGAGCCATTTATAAAACAGAACAACTGTAATCTTGGAAGAAATTTTAAAACTTGTAATAAAAATAAAAACAGCGCTGTATTCTTTTATCATACGAGGAGCAGTTTACAGTATTAAAGGACATTAAATGCATTAATATAACCAGTGTTCTCTTGTTCGCTCTATGACATTTAACATATAACATCATACTTGGTATGTTCATGCTCGAGCCGCAAAAGAAAACTACTTTTGTTTGCCAGTATTTCGTTTCTTCGGGATTATTATGCGCCCCTAAAGCACAAAATAATCTGATAAAATAATAATAATAATGATGATACCATCTGAAAACATACAAAGTTAGAGTGGGTCTTGCTTTATTTCTTCTCTTGTAGACAGGGGATTATAAATAGCTGCACACCAAAAGAAATACTGTATCGCTTGATGACTGGGGGGATTCATTCAATCATGTAACAAACCTTTACTGCGAAGCTCAAAAATACGGCACACATATAAGAGTCAGTGAACGCAACATTCATTCTAACGCGCAATGCACCCTGGATGTTGAAGTTCGTGGCAGGCTTCCACTAATAGGAGAGCTGGGAACCGCGAACGACGGGATGACGACATTTCCCGTGTTGCCTCTGTCACTAACGAGGGACTACACGCCTCTTTTTGAGCAACTTCTTGAAGCACGTCTGATAATCAGCACGTAGGCATAACTTCTGACAATGTTTAGTAACGTTACAGCATAACTACCGACGGTCGCTTCTCCTACTAATGGCCACCATTATCTTTTGCTCTGTAAACAAAACGGCTCGGACCGCGGCGAGACGATGTTTGGTTTCTCATTTAAAGGGGTTTGCTAGTGCAGGAGAGTCTCATTCGCCGTTATCCTCCGCTCACAGCCCGTCACTGACTTTGCTTTCGGGGACGAGATGGTTTTCCAGGGGTTCCAGCGTACGGTTCATGTCCCATGGGACCGCAGGCAGATCCGGAGCCGGGCGAGCCAGAAGGGGAGCCCTGGCGCTCAGTGGAGCCGCAGCGGTAGCGGCAGCAGCGGCGGTAGCGGGGTTAATAGCCAACGCTAACCACTTCCAGCGTGCCGAAATGGCAACGAAAATATCCCAAGCCGGCGAGAAGGAGAAGGAGAAGGAGGAGGAAGAGGAAGAGGGGGATATCTTGGAGAGATGCCGGGGGTTCATGTCTCCTCCGGTGACCGACATCGGTGTGCTGCAGGAGAGGAAAGGGGAGATGCGTACGAGGATGGAGATGTTGATCATGGAGACGCAGGCCGAGTTCTGCAAAGCCCTTCAGCAGGCGGACGGTGGGACGTTCAAGGTGGACCAGTGGCAGAGGAAGGAAGGTGAGAGCTCAATGGAGTTTAACATTATTATTATTATTATTATTATTATTATTATTATTATAATAAGCATTCTAAATGTTATTGTCAATTATCTATGTGTGATTGTTGACTTGCAGTACTTGCTTTCGTCTTAATTTATAGTTTTTGTGTTTATTCCATACAACAGTATACCAAGGCAAAATTCCTTGTAGGCCTCTGTGAAAACCTACTTGGAAATAAACTATAATACTATAATTTTGACAGATCCATGTTCTTCCAGACTATAACGCTACCTAAAGAGATCCCCAAAATCAGGAACTACAACAACCAGTCTCATGTAAATCTCTTTAAAATGTATTGCTTTTTTTTTACCTGGTGTGTGTATCAGGTGGTGGAGGGATCAGCTGTGTGATGCAAGATGGGAAGGTGTTTGAGAAGGCAGGGGTCAATGTGTCAGTGGTGTCCGGATACCTGACAGAGGAGGCCGCCAAGCAGATGAGGAGCAGAGGGAAGGTCCTCAAAGGGAAAGATGGTAAATTCTGCTAACTTAATAGTTTATATATAACTTGACATAGCTTTGATGACCTATATTCGGAGTAATGTGTAATATAATGAATAAACGTTCATGCTGTTCTCCCAGGTAAGCTGCCTTTTTGTGCCATGGGTGTGAGCTCTGTTATCCACCCCAAGAACCCCCATATCCCCACAGTGCACTTCAACTACAGATACTTTGAGATCGAAGAGTCAGATGGTGAGTGTGCAACGTCAGCAGCTGGGTCTTGGTGTCAGTGACACTATTGAGTACATGAATGAATGATAACCCTTGTTTCCGTCTTCCTTGTCTGTCTTGTGTGTGTGCTCCAGGCTCTAAGCAGTGGTGGTTTGGTGGAGGCACAGACCTGACTCCAGTTTATATTAATAAAGGAGATGCCTTTCACTTCCACAACACCCTGAAGGAGGCCTGCGACAAGCACCACCCACAGTACTACCCCGACTTTAAGAAATGGTATAAATTGACTCAAAATTAGTCCTGTGTATGTATTTGTGTGTGTGTGCGTGCATCTCAGCACGTATGCCTGATTTCTCTGTATTAGTGTGTGGGGATGACAATGGGTGTATCCTTACTGTAAGATGATGATAAGAGCAAGCCTGTGCCTAAAATCTGCAGATGCACAAAAAACCGTTGAGCCATGACGTGAGCCAGCGAATGACCATTGGGGATAGGAAAAGACAGGGTGTGGTTTATCTGATGTGACTTGTAATAAGTAATGTTTGTCAAGTTTTTGTTCAAGTTTAAAAGGAATAGATAGGCATTTGAGGAAATACATTTGGGAAATACTTTCTTCCCAAGAGTTATACGAGAAGATTGATACTCGTCTATGTCAGACTTAGTTTTTTTTGACCTACCAACAGAGCCAGGATAGCTGTTTCCCCCCTCCAGTGTTTATTCTAAGATAAGCTAAGCTAACTATCTCTTTGCTTTAGCTTCTAATTTAACAGCTAGACATGAGAGTACATTTTAACTCTCATTTAAATTCCTTTATAAACTGTCACTATAGATGTGCTTCCCCTCATAAATAGGAAAATATAATAATTAAAAAAAACAAATGTGATTTCACTTGAATTACTTTTAATTCCCTTTTGTCATAATTGTACTTTAAACTGACTTTATGATTGCTTTGAAATAATATAATATATGTATTATAAAACTCAGATCCACTGAATATTATAAAGTTCAGCCCTGGTTCAGCTATTGGTTGATGTATTTGAGTCCACTTCTATATTTTGTTGTTTGTGTTTTTAATTAAGTAGCTAATACACTTTGGTTTGTTCTCCCCACTGATTCCACAATTAGATCTATAGCCTGACATAGAAACTGTTTAACTGTTCAATTCTTCTGCTGTCTAGGTGTGATAGATACTTCTACATCCGCCACAGAGGAGAGACTCGGGGTATAGGCGGGATCTTCTTCGACGACCTGGACTCCCCGAACCAGGAGGAGGTATTCAGCTTCGTCAAGAGCTGCGCCCGCACTGTGGTGCCGTGTTACCTGCCCATCGTACATAAACACCTGAACGACTCCTTTACCGATGAGGAGAAGGACTGGCAGCAGGTACGACGAGGAAGGTGAGTAAAAGATTTGCAGAAGAATCGGTGGTTGTTAATGAATAATAAGTGATCTTAATATAGGAGATTGTGAATATCAATCTTCTGCATAAATACCTTTATTGCTTAAACAGTCTAATCCACTACGATGTAATCGACTATAAACATACTCACACTAACATTAGACCTGCTTTTGATAGGTGATCCATTGCAGATAAGATTTGGGTTTTTTTTATTTTGTAAAAGTTAAATTAAAAAAGCTAGTTGACTCTCGTTGATTTGAAGCAAAATGATATAAGAAAGTTTTGATGTGGACTCCATGCACAGCCTGTGTGGTCCAAAGCTGGAGCGGATCTTGGCAGAGCCCTCAGGCCCAGCAGGGAGTCTTAAAGTCATTTAGTGAGAGACTACAACACAGAGAATGAGCTAAAGTTTATTAATGGGAAGAAGTGTGACGTGAGATTGAAAGTCAGACAGGAATTGGGAGGGGAGATAAAGGAGAACTGGGAGGCTGACTCCTGGCTTAGTCACATCACTGAACTTCAGTTAAATTCTACTCCCATGAATGTTGCGCCATTGTTGATGTGCAGAGCTCGAAATGAAGGATGTAACAATCCTGGGGACAATTGTATATTTATCATTACAAATAAAATTATTATGTTTTGCATAATGGAATATGTATACTGTATTTTAATTATTAGTCAGTTTCGTGAGTATGATCTCCACCTGCTCTATATGAAAAGTGTCCTGAACTCACTTCTGTTGTGTTCCTGCGATACACAAATAAAATTTAACTGAAAAATTGAATTGAAAAATGTCCACACACACACACACACACACACACACACACACACACACACACACACACACACAAAAATCAATCAGAGAGAGAGTCAGTGGTGCCAGCCTAGCGACTTTCTCACTAGATCTTGCGACTTTCAGACGCTCTTGGCAACTTTATATATTCATATATATTGTAATTCATTCCCAAGCATGCTGCTCAAAGTAATTGCAGTCTTCTGCCAACAGCAGGGGTCTCTCCCTCTCCTTTTGAGCCATGCGCAGGCATTCAGTAGGTGTGGCAGGTTTGACCTTCTCCCTCACTCTTTATCTCCTTGTCTCTTTATTAGGATGTGCCTTTAGCCTATAAGTAAATAGTTTGTTTGAACTGGTAAATATTTAAATTCTGTTTGATCTTCCCTTGTAGATACCTTTTTTTAACTTCACATGTACGATGTCCCTGTAGTGAATCAGTGATTATTAGGCCAAATAATAATAATAATGTTCAAAGTGTGTATGTAAATGTATTTATACCAGTCAGAAACAGCTTTGTATTTTTGTAACTTTCTTTGTAACAAAAAAACTCAACCAGTGACTAAAAGAATAATAAAAAACTGACCTACAGTGTTGATAAAGTAGGGCAGGTTACTGAAACAGTAATATATTTATTATGTACAATGAAAAATAAACTTTAACTTGGGACAATGGTTGTTAAGTCTGGGACAGTTGAAAGGAAAAAAGCCCTGGTCAGTGTGCATTTCTTAACCCTGGAAGGCAAACAGAATGCAAAGATTAGTGTGTTAATTTGGTTATTTTTTAGCATTACAAAGGTTCATGCAAAGCAGTCAAGGCCCACGACTATTCTATCAGAGCACATAAATGCACCAACCTGGAAGACTTAAATTATCATGCAACAATAACTTCTACTAATATAAATACAACTAAAGGTTCACTGTATGGATTACCTACATCAGTTTATTATTGATTCAAATTCTCAAAAAATCCCAAAGAAGTTTGGATTTGGATTGGATTAAGGCACAATGTAATGGTATCATAAATCACATGAAGCTAGGTCCCTACAGTACTTATTTCTTTATATGTGTCTGTAGATATGTGGAGTTCAACCTGGTGTATGACAGGGGAGTGAAGTTCGGCTTGGCCACGCCTGGCTCCAGAATTGAGAGCATTCTCATGTCCCTCCCCCTCACTGCCAGGTAAGATAACACCGCTCTTGTATGACAGTAATGAGCCGTCTGTGTTGCTTGGTAACGAACTCGCCCTTCATCCTCAGGTGGGAGTACATGCACGAGCCTGCCAAAGGTACCCAGGAGGCCGAAATGCTGGAGGTATTAAGAAACCCCAAGGAGTGGGTGTAACCGGTGTTTACAGGTTTATACGTCGAAATGGACAAAACATCCAGGAATTCGTCTCTGTTGTATTTTATAATGCTGTGAATCTGTTTGATTAGATCATCAGCAGTTAACACTGTCTTTACCAAAATAATATGAAGTTGCATTACTTCTCTGAAGAGGTTTTTAATCTTTCTTGGTACTTTTGCTACGTTTTGTCAAATCCGCTTTCATAGCACTTAATCGCACTGGGGATCGCATTACTACTCAGAATGAGACATTGTGTTTTTAAACTTGAGCTTTGTGCCATTGCTTACTGCCTGGCAAGCTAAAGGGAGACCAAATAGTGTAATATTACAGGTGGCCATTGTACTAGCTTTTAGGTCACCTCACACCGATGATGTGCTCATTTTAAGAAGTGTTTGTGTCAAACACTGTTTTTTTTTTTCTGTGCCTGAGCTAAATGTGGCTTGCTCTACTTGAAGTTGATACAGCTCTAGTCTCCCCAGCTCTTCTTTAACAAAGCACTGAAAGGGAAAATAGGGACAAACTGAGCCACTGTATGTGTGGTATGCCACCACTGCTATCAGATGTTAATAAATCTGTTGTCTGGTTTTTTGAATGTTTCAGTGCATCTGCTGCCAACAAAGGGTTATTTTTGATTATCAAAGCTAAATAATAATAATGATAATAATGGACTGATCTCTCTTGAGCCCTGTTTATGTTGTGGTCGGTTAATGAGTCACTTACCGGTTTGTTTGAACAGAAGGAACAATACAGGGATTTTGGATCATGTTTCACAGAGAGGATAAATATAAACTACAGGCCAGGTGGCTCATTGAAGGAAGAATTGTTTGTAAATCAAAATGCCATTTGAAATGTAAAAATTATATATAGCTAACAATTGTAATAAATTGTTCCAATACGGTACCTTTGACTCTGATATTCTACATAAAACGCCGCCTTTGTCCTCACTCTGACTGGAGTCAACAACTCAAATCCAAGACCCCATCTTTCTGGTTTCATTCTCAATTTGTTGTGCATTATTCACCCTTTAATGATCCTTTGAATTTATATGATTGAGTGATTGATTAGCAAGAGACTGAGCAAATTTCAGAAATGTATCATGCATTTCTAAAATGATCCTCAGGCGGGTGCTGTAGAGGAGAACGGTGGGGGAAAAAAAAACGCTTACAACAATGAATATTTGTACTCCCTGGATCACATTCACAAGACACTGAATGAAATTAAAGAAACGTATAGCACATTTTTTATATTTTATTACAAATTAATTCAAGCTTCTGCACATAAAGGATTTATAACAAGTTCCCTTGCATTTAATGTTATATAACATTTTGTTTGTTTGATAAGGCATTGTAAAAAAAGGGCTCTGCAAATAACAGTACAACTGACCTAACCAAAATGGCTACCCCCACCAGCACAACTCAGTTCAAGGTCATAGCAAGTGCTGAGGTTCACAGGTCAACTCACAAAAAAAAGTAGAAGAACTAATCAGTGCTCAAAGTCGGTGAGGTGTAGACTGAAATGTGACATTTATCAGTATCTGTGAACATTAGACAGATATATTTGGTTTTTAGAGTGTATGCAGCAACATTGCATATGGAATATGAGCACTTTTTCCAGAGGATTACAGTGACATCGTTATGGCTGAGAGTGACGCTGAAGACGTCAAACCAGACTGTCCTAGTTTCCATCAAACTGCTCATTTGGAGCTTAAACACAAAGTGCCTTCATTTATTCACAACTTACTGTATAGTAGTTACACTAGTATTAATGCATCCACTGCATTCCTATGCAGTAAAAAAAACAATCTCATCGTGATTTACTTCCACACATACAGACTATACATATTTATATACAGGAACATTACACATGCTTAACATTGACTTTTCAACGTTAAATACAGAATCTCTCCCCTCAGATGACTTTTCCAAAAGCTTCTGTTTCTACTGATTTCTGTCCCACATTCCTGTGCAAGTCACTCCACGACATACATTTGTGGTGTAGCTGCAAACCAATTTGAAGAATAATCTGTGTACTATCAGTGAAAGTGGCACAGCAGAAGACTGTCGTCAAATCTAACAAGGTTACATTTGCTTTAAGGGAAAGGTGAGGCAAGGATTTTCACAGTTAAAGCGGGCTCTGGGCCACTGTCAATGGCCCAGAGGTGGACATGGGCCAGTGTAGCACTGACCATCAACAAACAGTGCAGAGCCAGATCCAACATCAGACCAAGCTACATGCATTACCAACATATAAGCACATAGGACACCCATACACAAAACACATTTCAACACACCCATTATAACGGACATTTTAAATTTTAAACATTCACAAGTGTATACTGAAGTTGGACCGATGCATTTATTTGGCAACTTGACGATTTAAACCTGTAATAAGTTATATTTTATATATCTCAACAGTGAATCTGATTGCTGACTGTAATCAAGAATCACTAGTAGTGCCAAACCCAACGAGAATAACATCCAACTCTGAAGCTCTCCAAGTGTTGACTAACTGTATTCCATATCCTGATTATTAACTAAATACTTGGGTCTTAAAGCTCCCTTTTTATGTGCTATTTACAGTTACCAAGCCCACACAAGCTAAGCCTCCACTACTTCCTCAGCACCAAACTGTAAAGAGCTGAAGTAAATGAGTGATTTTAAGAGTGTATTTTAGTACTTAGAAAGCTAAAGACCCAGATATTTATATCAGGAGTCGGTCAGACCAAAGCTAACAGGTTAATATTGAATTGAACTGGTCCCTGAAACACTTGATTTTCAGTTTGTTTTTTATTCTTTCTACCCCCTGGTGGTCAATAATTGCTTAATGCAAGCAACTTCAATTTGGGTTTCACTGGAACTGTTTTGTGGTCTAAATGCTGTATCTGAATCTTGAAGAGCAACACTTTTGCAAACATATTCAATGTACAAAATGCTAGGTGGAAAAGTAAATACCTATTTTTGACAACAAAGAGGTCAAATTTAAAAAGGTATTAAAAATAGGTGCAAAATATAGACAATTACTACCATAAAATTGGCACTAACTAAAGGGCATCGGTCTAACCCCAAATACACTTTTAGAATAATCATCCTTCATTATGGCAATCAAAACCCTTATTTCTTTAGGCCACATGCATCACTTGTTATGCCTGCTGAGTTAAATGATTTGCTACATTGCGACAGCATAGATGCAACTTGAGGAAATTCAGCAGAGGTGTCGGTTGGTTTTGGTATTGCAATATCACTTTCTCCTCATTGATGAAAGGTTAGTGCAAATTTTAACAGCGCTGGCTCCGGGAAAGATTGCATTAGTCCACTGACCGGACAGTTAACAGTGTTTGTGTTGAATGGGTAAGGCTGGTGATACCACAACAGTGGCTCTGCTAAATGATAAAAGATGGTCTTAGTGTGGGTTAGAACTTTTGTTGGGGTGGTAGTGAAAGACAGTTTTACTTCCCGTGGCCACCGTTGACACTAGTAGAGCTGGTGTTGACTATATCCTCATACTGTGGAGGCGGCTCCGTCTCTATTTGGACATCTGTACTGCCCACGGCCTCCTCATAAGATGGCGGCGGGTCTCCGGCGCTTCCTCTCCCTGATGTGAGCTCTGAGCCTGGATAAGCTGGGCTGCTGTGGACGCTGAGTTCTGATTGGTCACCATGGTGGTAATCCCTCCCCCAATGGTCCATAGAAACCACTGACAGGACGTGGTCGTGATGTGAGTGTCCCAGGCTGGGGCTGCGCTGTGAGCGCTTGCGGGAATGGCAGCGCCACACAGTGATGGCGACTGCGGCAATGATGAGCACAACCAGCAGCAATGGCACAATCAAGTAGAGAGAATGGACTCCGCCAACCACCGTCTCCAGCCCTCCTGATGGACTGCTCTCGCGCACATATTCCTCCCAGAACCGTCTCTGCAGGCAATCAGAAGACAGACAGACGCACATGTTGTCACAGATAAAAACCATCTTCTCTGCCTCATTCATTCAGGCTACAGTGGTAACGTAGTGGAACATAACCGTTTCCAAAATACAGGGTCACAGGACATCCAGTGTCCAGTGTATGAATACTTTTTATCTGGATTACTGCAACACAAAGGCAGTAGACAACAAAACCCGAACAAAAAGCAACCACATGATTGTGCACGTCCATCTGCGTGACTTTGCTCTCTGGCCTCTGACAATAGTCAAATACAAATACGCCTCCCTCTCTAGCATACACTCGGCTGTTCTTCCTGCTGATAATCATCACTTCCTGAAAAAACACCCACATTCCACAAGTTACCACTCTCAGTGTAGGATTTCATTAGTGGACACATGAACCCTACAAAAGATGTTTTACATAGAGCAGCTGATATGAGTTGCTCAGCAGTAGTAATATTGATTTGTGGATTTTAGCTCCAGCTGGGTGTTTCTTGTGTACCAGATTGCTGCCAGCCAGCTACAGATAGTTCAAAATAAGATTTAATTATGAGAATGAAGCTGCAGGAAGATCATTTAATTTGTGTACCATCCTGTGGATAACTGTATTTTAGCTTATGGGGTTGTTGCTTGTTATTTTTGTTTAAAGTTTTGGCTGACCACTCACAAGCTGGCTGGGAAACTTCTGAACACAGGACTCCCAGCTGGAGCGATCCCTGTACATACATTACCACTGGTGAGTGACTCAAACCACCTAATGCTAACAGAACCATCCCTTTATGTGGCTTATTTGGGTGTAGCCATATGCAATGTGTGGCAGGTATTTTGTTCTACTTTTCAAACCCTGTGTGTATTTAGCCTTGAGGAAAGGAGGAACTGTAGGTCTGATGTGATTCATCTCTCATCCTCTCACCGTCTTCTCGTCATTCTCGAAAGCCTCGCGGGCCTCCTCATAGGTGCAGATCTCCTCGCGGCACTCCCGCTGGATGTTACCCTGCTTCATCTCCTCCAGCAAGAAGTTTGCCCTGCGCAGCCTCCGCAGCACCGAGTGGGCCGCGTCTGCCGGCAGGAACACTGCAGGGCAGGAGACAGGAGGGGGAGAGACAAACACAAGGGCAGAGGGGGGGGGTGTTAGATTGAGAGATGTGTGAGAAAGAAAAAAAAAGTATATATAAGATAACAAGCAGAGACAAGAAAATGAGAGAAAAAGAGGAAAGAAGGGGTGAGTCAGTAAGCAGAACAGCATGGAGGAGGAAGCAAAGGGGGGAAATTTAAGCAAACAGAGAGTATTAAAAGAAAAAAGAGTGAGGCAGGAGGAGGAAAAGAGGATAGAGATCCCAAAAAAAAGAGAGCGAGGGAGAGAGGTGGGGACTGAAACAAAGGCTGTAGAGCAGAGCCGAGCGCTGCCCAGTGCCCACATTTCTGCATAAAAACAAAAGCTCTTTTGATTTAGGCATCCATCCCTGCGCCACATAAGAGAAGCTGGAGGAATGAACTTAGAGAGAGACAGAGCGTCCCTCTGTTCACACGTCCAGGATAAGAACATAAACTCTCCAACAGAAACTGCACACAAGATGCCAAAACATGCCCTGGGAATGTCTGATGTGCTGCCGAATTAACAGCTAATGGCGGACGTGTGACTCACAAATCCAGGGACGTGAAACACACAACACTTAAAAGAAAAACAAAGGGAAAAAAAGGGGGGCAAAATGCAGCAAAACAAGAATCTGAAAGAAAGGGAACACAAAAAACCTGTAGAGACACATTCCAGCGACTAATTTGTGTTTGGCAAACAATGTTGAAACACAATACAGAAGAAAATACAAGAAATGGGAGGAGCGTTTCTGGTGAAATCTGTGAGTGATACGTTCATGTGAAGTAATCTTAATAAACTTACCACTCCCCATGATTCCTGCGAGTCTGTTTGGGGTGCTTTATCTGTAGGAAACCAAACACACATTAAGTACAGCTTTGAACCTGCTGATAACAAAAGACTCCCTCTGGGGGGGGGAGAAACTACCCCTATTCCTTTGTTTCTTTCTTAATATAAATAGACATTTCTTAGACTCCTACACAGCAGCAACAAGGACTGAGGAGAGACTGAGGCAATGCCACACATGTTTTAAGAGCTGAGACCATCCAGTAGAGAATATCTAAAATTATAAATTATAACACTTCTCCCTAAAGGGAAATTCCATTAAAAAGTTGATTTGAAGAGCAAACTGAGTTAATGCAGGACCCTAACAGTAGCACAATTGTATGAGAACATCTCATCCATTTATCATGTTAAAAAAAAAGACTAACAGACAGCATGAATGGATAAGACTATTGTTTCAACAACCTAGGCGTTAAAGGGCGTTGTTGTGCTGAGAATATGAGACATCTTTGACCGAGGTGACAGTGACCAATGGCGGCTGCTGGCCAGTGTGACACATGGAGGTGTTACGGGAATCCTGCTCGTAGCTCCCCGAAATAGATCAGCAGCAGCGGAAACATCCCAAACAAAGCGCCTCCGCCCCGTTACACGAACCACAAGAGAGAGATAGAGAGGGAGAGAGGGAGAGAGGAAAGCTACAACAATGTTATTCTCTCACTGCGGCTGCTAAAGGTTTCCTCTCGTCCGTATGAGCCACGTTTGTGTGTCGGCTAGCGGCGTCCTGTGTATTGACAAGCGGGGATGAATTATAGGATCAGTGCGCCTTCAGCGTCGGATGCGATTTAACGAGGCACACATGATTCAAACGACTGCCCGGATACCCAGATAGAGAGGTGGATACGAGGACTTCAGCTTAATGTTACAGGCTTTTACTTCTATATGTTAGTGGGGTAATAAACTTTAGCAAACTCACCTTTTTTCGTCCCCAAAATGCGCATAAACGATCCCTCGTCGTCTCTGCTGCCCCTGACCTGAGTGTTGCTATGCACGGTGCGCAGGCGCACAGCTCTGTTTTCTACAACGGTCCCACGAACTGCCCCCTTTCCCCAGAGTTAAAGAGGCAGATCAACACGCACTGCCCCCAATCAGTGTAACTAACGTAATGATGTTATGTTGCACAAATCCCTTTAAATGACACATCGACTCAAATAATCCTTCAGAGAAACCGACTGGCCTTTCTTTGTATGATATTTTATAATGTCGACTTGAATGTTTTATGTTTTATCTATTTTATTTTATTTTATGTTTTTTATATCCTATCTTTGCACATATTATTATTATTATTATTATTATTATTATTATTATTATTAATTACCCAGGGATGTGACTCTGCTGGCATTTCTGGTCCTCCACCCCATGACATGATGGCAAAAAAAATATAATATAAAAAGTTGTTTCCTATCATTTTAAACAAAACTTTTACTGTCTATTGCTATTCATCTAAACTATGCAAGTGATATCAGCAGTCAATATATCAACGTATCTCATAAACTTGAAATAAAAATTGATGACAATGTAAAAAAAATATCTACATATTTAATCAGATTTTAGTCCCTTCTTCTGGATCTGACTGATGTGATGGTTTCTGTTCTTCTCAAAGAACAAAAAGGCTTTGATAAGTGTTCTGTGAATAAATATCAGTGTTAGCCATGTGGTGCAGCAATAGTAATCAATCAAAGTGGCATTAAAGGTCCAGCATGTAACATTTAGGAACATCTATTGGCAGCAATGAAATATCGTATGTTTTAATTATTGAATAATCACCTGAAAATGAGAATTGTTGTGTTCTTGTTTCCTTATAATGAGCCGTCAGGGAGTGGGTCCTCTTTTATGTTTCTTCAGTAGCCCAGAATGGACAAACCAAACACTGGCTATAGATAGGGCATTTCACATTTTTACAGCCCGTTCTTATTTCCAGGCTGTTGGTTGCAATCTGCAGCTTCACTGCTAGATGCCACTAAATCCTACACACAGGTCCTTTGGTAACAAATTGCATAATTTAAAATCTACTTTATTTTTAAATCCAGTCTGTTGGGATGAAAGAAAACAAATTCCATTCCAATAAACTGTAATTACTTTTTAAATTATAACTATATTTGTATTTGCCTCACATTTCTTCATACCTGCCAATGAATTAAATGCACAAAAATTTGGATATGATTGTTATCGTAAAACTTATGGCCAGTATACAGAAGATTATAGACTGGATCTTGACAGATTTTATTCTTATTTTTATATGATATGATATGATATGATATGATATACTGTACAGATCTGGATAAATTTCCATTAACTTGTAAACCACTGGGTCTTTCCGGATACCTTTTTGTCCATTGTTTGCTCACATCAACCAATCAGCTGTGGTGCTCTGCCAGACAGTTATTGATGGCAGAAGAAGAGGAAATTATCAATTTCTTTCCGCACTTTTTAACTTTTGTTTAATGTTCCATCTGTCAGTCAGTTTGAAAATGTAATCTGAGCAGTGAAATATGCAGAAACTCCACAGCAGTAATGTTGTATTAATGCTGATGAGTTTTGTTGTTCGACCAGAACTATGTGTGTGTGTGTGTGTGTGTGTGTGTGTGTGTGTGTGTGTGTGTGTGTGTGTGTGTGTGTGTGTGTGTGTGTTTAAGTGTTTGTACCCAACGAGTCTGATTACAATCTGTAATCATCAGTAATGATGTTGAAAGACTTTGCCGCCAGGAACAGTTGACCTACACTCCTGTAACTCAAAGACACACACACACACACACACACACACACACACACACACACACACACACACACACACACACACACACATGCACAGTCAAATCAAACTGCTATGAAAGAGTGAAAGAGAGATTTTTACCACCATATAAAGGAATTAATTCAAATCCTTTCATTTTCTTACAATAAATTCAGTGGTTCCACCAACCAGCAGTAACCTTTGACTTCAATTTACAGTGAATGAAAAAGGAGTTGTACACAGATATTATAATGCTGCAAATGTTTAAATGTAAACAAATTTAAGTAATTTGTTTTAAACAGTCCGTGTTTGTGTGTGTAGGGGGGGGTGTGTGTGTGTGTGTGTGTGTGTGTGTGTGTCTGTGTGTGTGTGTTAATCAATATGAATTAATTCCGAGATTCTTCCCTAAGGATGAAGGATTAACAAAGTTCAATTAGGGAAAAAAAATGAGCAGTGTAAGCTTCCCTCAGTGTGTGTGTGTGTGTGTGTGTGTGTGTGTGTGTGTGTGTGTGAGAGAGAGAGAGAGAGAGAGAGAGAGAGAGAGAGAGAGAGAGAGAGAGAAATGGGGTGTTAAACAAAGTATCACCTGAAGAAACAGAGGAGAAAAGAAGTAGGGTAAAGTGTGTCGCAAGGGAACAGCAGGCAGTTAAAAGGTGAAACCACTGAAACGAATGCTTATCCATGGGTGTAAGTTAAATGAGGAAAAATGATAAATTACTTGTCTGTCCTGCATGTTACGAATTCCACAAAGTTTTTTTTCCCAGACCACAGCAGCAAAACCTCTAAACCAGCATATCCATCACAATTTCATTCATACTATTTTAGGCACCACAATATCCAAACAAACCTTGTAATCAAGAATAAACTTTAATAAAACATAACAAAAGTTTATAAAGATCTCAGTTTAATCCATAGAGGATGATGTGACTGCGTGAAATATAATATTTTGATGTCTGTTTGTCATGTTCAGTACAACAACCATTGAGTGCCCCCATATTCCATCTACTTCACTTCAGTGGTGTCTTCATTTCCCAGAATGCCTTTTGAAAATCACAGACAAAAGGCTTTGTAGGAAAATAGGTTAAGGTTTGGATAGTACCAGTGAAGAATGTGGCTTGCTTAAATCTGTTGGGAGAAAGAAAAGGGTCTTTAATAATAATAAAGTTGTGGGGGGTGCATTATATTCTGATATATTGGACCTTGATGAAAGCTGTGGAATCAGCACTTCTGCTAGTTGGAACCCTACTAAGAAGTTGACTATAAAACATTTATTTAATCCCCTTCCATAGCACGTACACTGTGTAAATCAGATTGTTTCAAGGAGCATTATTAACAAACACCACCAACCATAAATGTATAAGCCACAGATCTCACAGACTCCTGTTGACTTTTTTATTCCTCCATCAATGAATATGAGGACTAACAGAGAGAGAGAGAGAGAGAGAGAGAGAGAGAGAGAGAGAGAGATTCTGTGTTAGAGCGGGTCTAGGCACTAGGACCCAGCAGGTGAAGCGCTGTGTTATTTCAGTGATCTGCAGCACAGTCCCGTCCGCAGAGCGCTGATCACCAGCAGCGGCAGCAGCGTCCTCTGGACTCAGGACGCGGAGCGAGCGGCGGCTCTCCATCCTGCTACCCACAGCACGGGCACGGAGCAGGGGAGGAGAAGGACAACCACAACTTCAACCTGACTCATTTTTTGGGGGGGGTTCGAGGAACGAGCCAGGAAAAAAAAAAAACACACACACATCTTCTTTTTTCTTCTTCTTCTTTTTCTTAATGAGTAAGATACTTCAGATATGGCTTCATCCGTGAGCGGCACAGAGGAGGTCCGGGTGTCGGTGATGACGCCCCTGAAGTTGGTGGGACTCGTGTGCGTCTTTCTCGCCCTGTGCCTGGATGTCGGGGCCGTGCTGAGCCCGGCGTGGGTCACGGCGGACGACCAGTACTACCTGTCCATGTGGGTGTCCTGCTGGAAGCCCGTCAGCTCCGAGGAGTGGTCCTGCAACAGCACGCTGACCACCGGTGAGACAGACCTTATGGTGGCTGATGGGGGGGGGGTGATGCGCCACCATGTTGTTTTGGAAGTTTTTAAACCAGTTGGGTTGTTCTAGTTTTAGGGATGTTTTAGCCTTGAAAATGGCAGGATTCGGGGTTGCAGACAGACACCCACATTCATATTCAAATGAAAGTGAGATGCACAGCGCTCAGGGCTAACAAAGGATCCCTGCAGACAGTGCACTGCTGAACCAATCTGTTCTGTGGGTGAGAATTATAAAACATCACCCAGGAGAGTGCTAAATGTTAATTACTTTATAATTAGCTATTGCCTGGTTAATTTAAACTGCAGAACTTTTCTGCATGAAATAAGATAGCGAACAATGAGCTGCACATTGAAGTGGGAAATAATCGAGTATACGAAAAAAGAAAAGAGAAAGTTTATCCTCGAGTCTTAAAGTCTGATGAATACGACACCTTTGGTTTTCTATCTAGTAAACTTCTCTGAAACATTTGCCCAGTGCGCCACTGAATGATGTGGGAATTCTGCCTCGCCAGGAGCGGTCCAGCTGGGGTTTCATTTGGCCTTTTGTTGCGCACAAAATGAGCCTTTGTGTGGGTTTCTTCACCGGCCAAGGAGCAGAGCAACTCAGAGCAGAGAACTCCCCAGAGATCCAGATGCCTGGAGATTAGTAACCAGGGAAACAAGTGAAGCACTCCAGTAATGCTGATTTTCCCCATTAAGTATCCATGAAGGCTTCTTTTTTTTTTATGGAAACATTTCATATTTCCACCACAGCCGGCCATTAAGTGTTTTTAAATCAATTTTAATCATATATATCATATTTATGCCTGACATCTATAAAAAGTGTAATGCAATCAACAACAACTGCCCTGCAATTTGTGACGCTTATAATGTGCTTTTTTTTATTGAGACACTGGCCCCGTTTGTAGAGGCCATAGTTTGTGATATTGCTGTGTTAGGTTACACTGGATTGTAAGGTGGACAAAATAAGAGGAACACTTTATAGTATAATCCAGTGCAGGTCAAACAACACCACAAACTAAAGCCTCAAAAATGAAGAGAAAAACTAAAAGTTCAAAGCTCACTAAAGGCAGGATTGACTGCAAGGCTTTAAATGGGATTTCACTATAACTGAATATATGTAGTGTTTACTATTGTGTGAATATATTGTGTGATTTTTATCAATGTCTAACCTCTGCAGCAGATGTAAAATGAGGGTAAAGCTTACATAGATTTATCTCAGACTGGCTTCCTGACTACAGCTTCCTCCATTATTTGTGTGTGTGTGTGTGTGTGTGTGTGTGTGTGTGTGTGTGTGTGTGTGTGTGTGTGCTGCTATATATATATTTGGCTTTTTGCTGCCTCTGACCTCCTCCTGTGTGCTGAGTGGTGAATTGTGTTTTTGTTAGTCAGACAAAATGTTTTCTTTCTGTCTGAGAGATGAGTAACTGTGGGTCACGTTGGCCCCCGATCCTCCTCTGTCAGCGCAGACAAAGTGCACTTTGGTGCCATATAAAGACATGCAGTCTCCGTGTCAGCTCTCAGCAGAAGCATACCAGAGTAAATGCACACAGCAAACTGCCCATTTCCCCAGGCTTGTGCTTGGCTGGGCTTATTGATTTGAATCCCAGTAATCAGTTTCTACCCCCCTCGTCAGCCCCCCAATATTTCCTCGGTGTCATGCTCTGGGCATTAAATAAATCCTGTTAGTTTGAAACACCAGCTGGCCGCTCAGATGTTTTGAGCTTTTTTCTGCAAGGCCTGCATGTGTGTGTGTGTGTGTCTGGGAATAATATGCAGTGTGAATTAGAAAGTAGACATGACATATTGCCTTGCTACATGTGCATGAAGTGTTTAAAATATACAGACGGAAATGGTAACTCTTCCTCTTTCAGTTTCTCTCTCTCTCACACATACACACATACACACACACTTAAGCAGAGGGTCGGGGGTCAAGTATAAAAGATACAGACCTGACACAGGGCTAGGAATGTGGAACAGTCGTGCAAGCGCAGCGTGTGGGGATGCCAGGTCTGTGCGAGAAGAAGGGGCCGAACGTGGAGCCAGAGTGTGAGCGAGTCCAGCTCAGTGAGACGCAGCGATCGCAAAGCATATTAATAATGTAACACCCTATCAATCCCATATTTGGGTGTCTGTCCTCTCTTTGAAGAAGGCCACAGCACAGCGTTGGATACAGGAAGCGAGTTAAGGTTCAGCATCGTGCTAACGGACCCTGGGTGCTTGAACCTGGGGCCTCTGGTGGAAGATCTCGCTGCTTCTTAAACTTCTCCATCCTGCTGCCTTGAGTGAGTGATACAGGGTGTGTGTGTGTGACAGCAAGAGAGATACTCGAGGCTCTTCTGTGACACAGATCTTCTACCATTGTCTCAGACAAAGGAACAGAATTGGGGCCCTGAAGGATCTTTTTGATTAACACTTCAGCTATCCCTGACAGGCACACATGGGACCATAATTAATGCTCAGATTCGATCTTGTGTACTGTATCTCCTTTTTCCATCTGTCATCACGCGGGGCTCAGATTAATAGTTTGGCGCTTCCTGCTCGTCAAAGCCTTTAAGCACTCTGACTCTGGCTGTGTTTCTTGCACAGCGTACAGGGTCTGTTCCAAATCTGAAATGAGATGACTCTCTGCATCCTGCTGTTTCATGGGTGCACTGATAAGGCTTTTCAGACTGGCTGAGCTGAAGGCACCAAATTGACCTAGAGAAGATATCTCACCACCAATGGGACTTTGACAACTACAGGTCAAATCACGGTGGCTTTTTTTCCCTGAGAGGCAGCCAGTGAGGCGGTGGCAGAGAAAGTCAAGGGGTCGGTCTTAAAGGGGGCCTCATGTTGTGCAAGCTGTAGGCTGGAGGGGAGCGGGTGCTCTGCTTTTTGTGGGCTCTTTCCAACATCCTGTGGTGACAGGGCCCATTTTTAAACTCTAAATCCTGGACCATATTTGGTCAAAAGTAGTTGATGTTTGTTTATATTTGAGCTGCTTGGCCCCTGGAATAAAGTTTCCCTCCAACACGAGTGGGAACTGTATTTTAAGCAGCTTATGTTCCGTCACTTTCTCTCCACGGGTGAATGTTTTAATGATTTTCTGCCTCAATAGAGAGGAAACATTGTGGGCAATGCTTAATCTTTTTTTTATTTCCTGGGCTCCATAATAGAAAATACCGTGTATACTAACAAAAAAAAAGACAAAACATATTCTAAACTTAAGTCTTTCAGTGTAAACTTTTCCACCCACTGTAATATTGAATCACTTATCCACAGCCCCCGTTATGCTTTGATGTTTGTTTTTTTTTTTGTTTTTTTTTCACCCACTGTACTTTAAATTATTTCCTCCTGTGTAATCAAATGCCTCATCATAATATCCTCTGCCTGTTTACATATAGACCTCCTGTTTCCACGAGTACGCAGCAAAGCTTCGAAACAGAGACGTTTAATCACAAACAACAGCTTGTCTCTCAACAGTCCTCAGTTAACGTCCCATGGCTAATTCAGTCTAAAACAAACTTTATTCTCGAACAAATTCTTCTGCTGATGTGATTTTTTTCTTTTGCACGAAGCAAACAAAAATCTAAACTATAATATTTTTCCTTTTTTCACACTTTAGAGGCTTCCCAGTTTTGTCCCTACTGTCCAACAAGCATAGAGAAGCGAGATTGAGACGGCAGTTATTTCCAGTCGAGTGTTTTTGGAGTAAATCTGAATGAAATGCTGAGAATGCTGCTGAGCTGGCACCGGCCAAGAGAGAGGGATACTCATTATCTGAGTCACCTCACAGAATCACTTTGCCTTTCTGCTGCATTAGGATCCATTACAGACCCGCTGGAATCTTGTGTGTAGCCAGACGTTTGTTTGCTTCTTGTCAGCCACAAACTGCTGCGCTAAGCTTTGAGGAGTTATTCACCGCGTGGTTCACATTCTTCTACTGCCACTGGCCATGGATCCCCCCAGCGGTTCATGTCAAAACATTATGAGCCATTGCTTCTCAGAATATGCATGAGGAGTTGTCTCAGTCTGAACCGCAAATAGTTTGTTTACACTGCGGTAATTTGCCACAAACTTTAGTGGGAGGAATCATTTTACTCTCGTGTGAGATTGAGCATGGCAGTGTTACTGTGGCTCACCAACATGGCCTGTGACCTATTCTGCTTCCTCCCTCCTCTCTTTTATCCCTCCTCGTCTATCTATCCACATCCCTGCCTCCTGTCAACAGCACAGACACGGCTCTCCAGAGTAACCCCGTTTTAGCTACCTATGTCACTCTCTATCTCAGTGTGATTTCATGCCTTTCCTCCCTCACCCCCCTCTACCCCACCCCACCCCTCCTCTCTGTCCCTGTGTGTGTTTGTCTCAGACTGGCAGATCGCCACACTGGCCCTGCTGTTGGGGGGGGCGGCCCTCACCCTGCTCTCCTTCCTCGTGGCGCTGATCTCCCTGTGCTTCAGCTCCAGGAGTCGCTGTTACAAGCCTGTGGCTGTCATGTTGTTCTCTGCAGGTACGTGAAGAGATTGTTTCTCACTGGAAGAAAAAAGGATAGTCCAAAAATACCAAAAAATGTCTGTCCAGCTTCCAATAAAAACTTGTCTATGGTATGTTGGCTGTCAGGAGACAAAGATCCAAGGCATGTGCCATGCAACCTCCCTCTCATTTAGTTTTAATCTTTATCATTCTGTATGTATTTCTCACACTTTTTGAGTAACTTTTCTTTCCCATTTTCCTCTGCAGTGGTGCTCCAGGTGTGCAGCTTGGTCCTGTTCCCCATCAAGTTCATAGAGACAGTCAGTCTGAGGGTGTATCACGAGTTTAACTGGGGCTATGGCCTTGCCTGGGGATCCACCATCTTCTCTTTTGGAGGAGCCATCCTCTATTGCCTCAATCCCAAGAACTATGAAGACTACTACTAAAATATGCGAGACAAGAAGAGAAATTGAGACTCTGTTTCATCCAGTGTCCTCTCAGTAATAGGAACTTTCTGTCTGTTACACAATGCACAACCACAGGCTAGAAAAATAGGAATAAACAAAATGCTTATTGTTAGTTGTCAGGACTGGAAATGAGCTCTTCCATTTGATACTGTGAACTTATTTTCTGAAAGACTATCCTCACTCACTGGACCAGAGTCCCGTGCTTTCTTTTTCTGGCAGCAAACCCAGCTGTGAAAAAGAAACCCAAACCAGACAGTTTAATTTGGGAGTGAATGTCACCACTCAGAGAAGTCTGCGTCCCCTTTAAGTGGAACTCCAGTAGGTCTTAGATTTGGGCAGAAAATCTGGAGGGAACAGATGGATTCACTGACCCCATACTAGGACGAATTGGTGGACTAATTAACCAATCAGAGTAGAGAAGGCAAAGAATGACGTAAACTCAGGCCAATCAGGGAAGTAACGGATTCAGGGAGAAAAATATCCTATTGAAGCGATATCCTGAGGATGACAAAGCGAGGAAGACAGGGCACACCTAAGGAAATACAAAATGCCGCATTTCCTGAGATACACTACATCTGGAACTTGGCCTAGCCTTTTTCCCATTGTAGAGTGTAATAGCTTTGTGAAAGCATGTCATAAAGCTCCAAAGGACTGGCTTTATTTTTTTGAGTCTAATAAAAGGCTCTGAGATATTCATAATAAACATAGGCTACCTAAGACAGTAAAAACATTCCACAGCTACCTTCTAAATGATATCATACTGGTGAGAGGAACATTTACTGGTTAATGAATAGCACAGAGTTGGTGAACCCTATGGCTGCATAATGTAAATCTGCAGCATAACTTGAGTTATACCTGCTTTTTTGATAAACAAAATTATTGTATTATATGTAAGTATGTGCAATAAGCATAATAAACCTATATTCTAAGAAGACCAGTGGGAAGGGAAATGGCAAATGACCATGTCTGCTGAGTGTGTGTGCGCATGTCTGCATGATCATACCACACAGCATGTGCTCATACACCTCCCCATGTGATGCCTCCTTATCTTCTCTCTGTAGACTAAGCACCATTCAGAATAAGAATGTTCTGCTTCAGAAAACAAGAGGCTGCAGCAGAAAATCATTGTAGTTTTTGAAGAATTCAGCATACTTAGTTTTTGCATCTAAGTTAAGCTTTGTGATAAAGTAAAGTAAAGGAGATGCTTGAGTGCAATGTGCATGAGTAGTGTTATGGAATCAAGAAAAACATTAAAAGTTTCTAAACTGAAAAAGGACAGTGTGGTCTTGAGAGGTGAGACGTGTGGCAGCAGAAGACCCGTACTGATGTGCTCTGGTAGTAACAGTCTTCTCAAACATCATTCGAGGTGATCAGAAACTCCCCCTTGCAACATGAGTAGAAGTGAGTGAGTGTGTGCATGCCACTACCATTTGTTGCTGTGTTTCTGATTCCCACTGGCTTCATTACTAACATAATAAAGATCTACTGGTAAAAAAAAAAATACAAAAAATGTGTGTTTGGTTCATTTGGGGTAAAGGAGTACCTAGTAACTGTGCAAATGTGCCAGCTGTGCGTGGTCAAGTCACATAGAATCAGCTCCTTTATTAAGTACAGCAAGTTGAGGCATTTGCACAGGAAATCAACATCATTTGAACACATAATACAGGGTGGCTTAATATGCATAAAAGTACCAGGAATATACTCCTATGCAAATGTCTTTAGTGTTCTTTCAGTGAAATAAGCTCTAATACAGAGCCAGATACAGTGTACAGTCTACATTTCGCATTTGAACGTATATACCATTGCTTTTATTGTTCCACTGTCAGAGAGGGAGTTACAAGTCCTGGATTTAAGTGGAGGTGTCTCCATTTTGAGTTCAGGAATGGGCGCAGATGTGTAAACAGGGCAGTCACTCATTCTGCATGGAATGTTCTCTAACTAAATCGTAGCTCCTCCTCTTCAATCCTTGGTCACTTCGACCTTTCTGAAGCCCCGACCCACCCGCTGCCAGAGTCGCAGTGTGTCACTCCCTCTTTTATACATTTGACATGAGAAGAGTCTTCAGCTGTCACAAAAAATAATCATCATCCGCCAATGGAAACAAGGGTCAAAGTGCACAGGAGTAGTAGATGGGAGCAGGAGAAGTGGGCAGAGAGGGATAGTGGCTCTTCCTCAGCAGGTAAGAGGGACTTATATATTGATTGACAGGGCAAGACCTCTAGATTCTGCAGATTTTGGAGGGATGGGGCTTATACTATCCAAGGATTGGCAGGGGCTGGGGCAGGGGTGGGCAATACAGCACAGTGCTTAGCTCAGGTGTAGCGTGGCATCTCGCACTGTTCACAGCGGTTGAGTGCAGGGTGGTTGAGGAAGGTGCAGCTTTCACAATTCCACTGGGCGCCTTCAAAGTCTTCGTCCCTCTGGGGCCCTGGCACTGGCTTGGAGCCCTGCTCTGCATCTGACAAAAACAGAGAGAAGCAGTATATTTAAAAAATGCTGATTTATTCATGTGATAAAGTGCTTAACACAACAACAATTACAGTGTCATCAACTCAGAGCTGGAACTAACCATGGCAGTCACTCAAGAACATTCATGCATGCCGCACACCATTCAGTATAAATGTTGACAGACATGGCCATTCAGCAAAGGGCAAGGTTTCTCAACTTGTTTCCATGCCAACAGATTTGTGGAGATCAACACAGACAGTCAGTTAAGCCATTAGTCTCGGTTTTCAAACAAAAATTTTTCAAAAACTTTAAGTAATGACCTGAATGGCCTTGCATTGAAACTCAGTCTGTATCTTGGCAACAGTATCAATGTATGATTTTATGCTTAAGAACATAAAGTTTTCTTCTTTTCTTTGCACAACCTTATAAGAATGTATCATAAGTGACTTTTATGTTCTGAAAACTACACCAGACAATTCTTACCTTTCCTCCCAGGTTTGGGCGGCACTACTGGACCAGGCTGAATATTGTCATAAAAGTTGTTCATTGCTTTTGGATCAAACTTCCCTGTGGAGGAAAGCAGAAATCAGATAAAGAAGATTGTTTGGGTGCCCATCGCAGCCAGACGTCCAATCAGTTTCCAGCCAGTCTTTTCGAGCCTGACTGTCATGCTCAGACCGACAATAACAGCCTTCTCATTCATTGCAACGCAGAGGACTCCAGCAAATTCAGAGTACAGGGTCAACAAGCAAAAAAGTTTAACCTAGCTCAATTTTTGCAGCAATGTACTGAAACATCTGGCTAGCTGTCTCATAGTATTATACACTGCTGTGCAGTGTTTTCTCATCCAAAACTCAAAAATGTAGGTATTCATTACTCAAACTGACCATCCTGGACTGCATTTAATCATCTCACTGGCAGCTGGAGCAGCACGCCTAAAACAATGCAGCCCCATGCATTTTGTTAATGCAACGCATCATTTGACCTAAATGGCCACAAGTTCAATCACTGATGCTACAATAAATGAGGCAATTTAAGAACTATTCCCACAACTTTTATGCAGTCCTTGCTGCAGCGGCCATAAGTTCAAGTCTGACCTGCGACCCTTTGCTGCGTCTCATCCCCTTTCCTTCCCAACCTTCAGTTGTCCTGTCAAGTAAAGACCCCCAAAAATATACATATATATTTTTAAAAAAATCACAGTTACACATTTTTGCCAGAAAACAGCGCCTTGCTCTTTCTGGCACGTATTCACTTGGACTCAAGATAACACATTTTAAGTCAACTGCATAATGAAATAAGGAAGCCCGCTTTTCTTTGAGTGTTTATATAGCCAAAAGGAGGCTTTTTTTCCCCAAATAAGATTTGACAGTTATCAACATGGGATTTCAATGTCTGCTTAAGTACGCTGTGCATAGCTCTATCATCATTAAAAAGAAATATAGGTCTAACAACTACAGGCTTACAATCAGATCATTTGTTTTGCAAATGGGTAGAATTTTCTGCAAGCAAGTGCTCTAGTTTTTTTTGCAGCAGGCCATCCTCAAAAACATGCTAGTGCAACAAGGGCACTGGCGAATGAAGGCAGCGTTCAAAAAGCTCAGAAGAGAGACTTGTGCTGCCCCTTTGTGGAAGAGTGCCAAAGAGAAAACTAGTGTTAAAAACAACTTTTATATATGATATCTCGTTTGCCAAAAGGCAGTTGGAAGACTGAAACAAAGCAGAAGAATGCTCCAGGAATTTTCCAGGAAGACCACAGCCCCAACGTTTGGTGGCATTGGGCTGATTGTAAGTAAATTGGTCACACTCGAGAGCCTGCTGCCAGTTAGACCGTTTCAGCTTCCAAAAACACAACTCCTGGTAAATATATAAAGCACTGCAACTAATACACATAGACTCTGATTAGGGGCATTCGAGCCAATGCTGTTATCAATTACGCAATCAACTAGGATCACGTACCAGCCAAACACTGCGCACCCAATGAGGGTCAACCCTGGTTCGGCCTGGGTCCTGTCACGGACCAGCCGGTCATTTTAGAACGCTGCATCTGTATACAGTGTGATGGAGCCTCATCCATCACTTTGGACCCAACTGTCTGCTTCTGGGCTTGGCTCTTTCAAGATCAATGTTTTCTAATAAATCAGAGACACACTTCAAAGGTTTATGTGTAGGAATGTGCATTTATGTGTATGCATGTGACGTTTGTCTGTGTATGTATGTGTGTGTGTGTGTGTGTGTGTGTGTGTGTGTATGTATGTATGTATGTATCTCTGTGTACCTCTAGACTGCACTAGATCTGTCTCCTTCAGGGTACAGTCGATATCAATCTGAAGCTGTCTGTTCAGACTCCGCAATCGGGTCATCTCTTCAGGCTGCGGCCGGAGCAAACACACAAACCAGTTAGATTAGACAAAAATAGACAACCAAATATTACCCATTCCTTCTTTCAAACAACAGTAACTTTGTTTGATACAATAGTGCAATTTGTCTTACTCATGCTGCAGAATGTCAGTTACAATGAAGCTGCTACAGCCTACTGAGCCTCCATGATTATGGGATAAAGATAAAGTCTAAAATCTTCTGAATGCTGAATCAGCATCTTTTGAGCATGTGAAAAAGTATAAAAAGATTTGTGGTGACATAAGATAAAAAACAAAAACAAAACAATGCAAGTGTGAGTCCAAGTACGGATGTTCAGTCCTTACTCTGGGTATAAGACTGGTGGAGTTAACTCGTCTAAAGCGTCTTTGAAGGGCATCATATTCCATGTTGTTGACATCAGCCTTCAGATGCTCTAGTTTTTGCTTCTCCAGCAGCAGCTCCTTCAATAGACGCTCCATCCTGGCCCGCTGGTGGAGCAGGAGAGCTGTAGGGAAACACATCAAATGAAACACTTGAAATTCAAGACTAATAAGATTTAATTGAAAACCTCTTACTTTAGTGCTCTGTTACTACTTCATACTGATAAACAAGCCCAAGACAGACTTTACAACATTTAACAAAAAGCACTAAAAAGGCAGCAACACAGACAATTTGTGAAATAAAGATCAATTGCAGTATATCTGCTTTCACTAAAAGAGGACAAACAGACAGAAAGCAGTCACACAAACTACATCATTTATATGGCTGGGGAGAAAGTCTATATGATAACAAAATATGCCAAAAGGGCAGCTAAACACCACAAAATTATGCTCATTATTTATTGCTTAATCAGCAGTTTCAAAAAAAGCTGTAACAAAATTGGCATGTGAGGATTACTGAGAACTGCGGGATTAATACCTTCTATACAGGCCAAGCACACAAAGATGCAGTGTATGACATAAAAAGTTGGATTCTATCAAAAATCTGCGACAAGGTTAGGTCTTAAATATTTGTAGATATATTTATGAATACATACAGTTTTCAGTTTATTCAGTGTAACCCTTTAAATTAGAAGGTGAGCATGACCATTCTTGTTTTTTTGGTATTTTATTAGTGACTGTGCAGACACATGAAGTAAATATGGGGACAGAGAGGGGGGAATGACAAGCAACAAATACACCCAGCTGGAATAAAACCAGGGACGTTACGGTTATTATGTGGTCCACATCTTAACCACCGATACACAAAATAATCCAATTCTGAGATGATATGCACCCATTACTTCTACAAAATAGTGTTTT